GTCAATTCGGCTGTTGATACTTGTGCATGCTTCACGAAGTTCTTGTGTTGTGTTTTTCAGCTCCATCAATTCACTTATACTTCTATTTTGTCCATTCTCATTAGCATTTCGTCAAATCTTTTTTCAGGGTTCTTAGCTTCTTTGCGTTGGGTTAGAACATGTTCTTTTAGTTCACCGAAGTTTCTTACTACCCACCTTCTGTAGTCTGATTCTGTCATTTCATCACACTCGTTCTCTATCCAACCTTGTTCCCTTGCTGGTGAGGAGTTGTGATCCCTTGTAGGAGAGGTGTTCTGGTTTCGGGTGTTTTCATCCTTTTTGCGCTGGTTTCTTCCCATCTTTATGGATTTATCCACCTGTCATCTTTGTAGCTGGTGGCTTTCAGATTGGGTCTCTGAGTGGACGTTCTGTTTGTTGATGATGAGGTTATTTCTGTTTCTTGGTTTTCCTTCTGACAGTCTGGCCCCTCTGCTGTAGGTCTGCTCAGGTCCACTCCAGGCCCTGCTTGCTTGGGGATCACCTGCAGCAGCTGCCTCTGCGCTTTCACTGGGAGCTGCAATCCTGAGCTGTTCCTAAATGGCCATGTTGGATTGATCTCCTCTTGAGCAAATTTTTTTTATAAACATAGTCATCTTTCTGTGTTCATGGGGGATTGGCTCCAGGACATCCATAGATGCTCAAGTCCTTCATATAAAATTCTGTAGTATTTGCATATAACCTATGCACATTCTCCTGGCGAGTAATCATCTGCAGATCACTTACAGTACCTAATACAATGCCTACACATCACTTCTTTCATGTGGACTTAATGTAGTATTTGGTAAGTTTTGCTTTGGTGGAATTTTTTTTTCCTGAATGTTTTTGATCTGCAGTTAATTGAATCCACAGAGGTGGAACCCATGGCCCAAGTATAATATAGGTATAAATAATCTATGAAAGTATCTGCTCTGCTGTGACACAGGAAGGGCATCTATTCATTATAAAAAGTAGAAAAAATATTCAAAGACTACGATAGACTGAAACTATTATTGTGATTTTATTACAATAGTTAACAATATTTTAGTGGTATACAATCATATCACAATGACTCAAACTATATACAGGTATTTATACAAGTCTACATTAAAAAAAGAAAACGCAAATAATGACCTCCCCAAAATCACATTATTAACAAGATTTTTTTCTAAAAGTTACAGCCAATCCAATAACAGAAAAATTCACAGTTATTCTGCAAACATTTTAAAGATGCAGGAATCATATTGCACATTATGTAATTATAAATCCTAACAAGCAGATTTATATATTATAATCTAGTTTTTCACAAAATTTACATTATCATGCAATACTTTACTGTACACAGAATGATGGAACTAGAATAAACAGATTAACTTACAAACTTACAATGGCCACAAATTTAAATTATTTTAAAGTTATATTTAAAATTATTATACTAAAACAACACTCCAGTGTAATAAAACTTAACAGACACAATCATAATTTGTTCACAGATCAAATTACTTTTTTAGTGTTCTTCTTTGTCTTTTCCTTTCTTTTCCTTTTCATCCTGTAATGCAGTACCGAGCTTTTTGATAAGAACTGATAGAACCTTGTCCAGTGGATCCATGACTCCTCTTTGAAGCCATTTAGGAATAGTAGTCCTAGCATGATGAAAGCCCAGTTTCTGAAGAATATAATCAACACCTACTGGATCGATCTTTCTTCCAGTCCAAGAAATTAATCTAAAATACAAATTACAGTTATTAGCTATGATTAAGGAATATAATGCCCTAAAGCACAGTTCTAATGGTAGAAAAAGAACACCACTAAGCCTCTATAATATACTCAAGACAAAATATTTTCAGTAGGTACATTTGTATATTTCAGCCCGTAATTCTTGGATTCACCATAATAATAGCATTAAAAAAACATACATAAGTATCTTTGACAACCTAAACACAGCAATAGTGTTTACTGTATTTCATCCTGAATAATATATTTTAGGCCTTTTACACAGTTATCTTAATCATATAAAAGAAAATCTGTTTAATTTTAATAGATTTCATAAGCATATGGCATAATGGGAGAAAATGGCTAAAATTTACTGAGTGTTATGTTTTTGAAGGGAGAGTCATTTTCTCCCTATTCTGGCTATTTCCTTATATGTGGAGGAAAAGCTATTAAACACTACTGGCCACCTGTCCCTGTATTGACAATTTATCCAATTGGCAAAATTAACAGAGGAAATGAGTAACATGGTTCAGTACCCTCCTCCCTCTTGGGAGCCCTTCATTTTGATCTGTTCCTTCATGCCACAGTTTTTTCAAGAGCAAGCCCCTAAACAGGTTAGCCTTAGAGTATTCCATGTTATCTGTGGCTGAGTACATACAGAGCTGCTGATTGTACAACTCCAGCAACCCCCTACTCTGCCCTTCCCCCCAGTTAAGTTCTACATCGATGCCCTGCAGGATCTGAACTTTGTAGAAAGCTACTGTTGCCATACAGCTAAACCACATTTTCTGTTATCAGCTTTATCCATATTAAAACTGTCATTCTGATTTCTAGATGCTTCTCTCCCACTATTTCAATTGGTTCTGAACTTAAGCGTGGGAGTTGGGGGTGGTTAGGCATTGATCTCTTCAAACTCAAATAGTTATAAGTATTTTGCATTTATTAACTCATTTAACCAGTGTAACAACCCTACAAGGTAGGTAATACCATTTTCCAAATTTTTCATGAGTCAACTGAGGCAGAGAGAACAGAGCGGCTAGGTCTTTTGGCCTAGCTCATTCAGCTACTATGCAAAACAGCTGGGCTTACAGCCAGATCTCTTAAACCATGTTCTCTACCACTATACCACATTACTTAACGCCAGTTACTCTTGTTTGCTAAAAAAAAAAAAAAAAAAAAGGAATATGGTAACTTTTTATGCTCACGTGAAACTAAATTCATTTTGTATTAAATTTAAATATATTATTTAAATGTGCAAATACAAAACAGATTTTATAAATAGTTTTCTGCATTAGGACCTCTGCAGTATTTTAACACTTAATATTTCTCATGGGTATATGCACTATTAGGACCAAAGTGTTTTGCTTATTTAGTTAAAACAAATTTTACAGTATATCAATTACTTATTAACACACAAAGTCACTACTTTCTGCCTATACAAGAGTTCTCACTGCATAATGGAGGTTTCATTTTGGAATTCATAAATACGTCTGAATAATAACCTTATCTAATAAAATGTATATCATCTTGCAGAATGTTGTCCTGGGATGTAATGGATTTTTTTTTTAAACTGTTATTTCAGGATTCAGACAGTTACAACAGGACTAACAAAGCAGATGAGAGGAAAAGAGAAAAACAGGAAGGCTGTTAGTGTTAATCAAAAACAAGGACACAAAAAGTAAGTATCACTAGTTATAGAAATTATTATAACCGAAACTAAAAAATACCTTTGAAACTTTGGGATAGTGATTTAATTGGGATAATGATTGTGGTAGAATATGATTCAGTAAGGGAACCTTAATCTGATAGTTTGTTAAATTTGATATTTTAGGTATGGTTTTATATTGCTTGGTATGCAAACAGAAGGGTACTGTGACACTGCAGGTTTTGTTATAGTGTTATGACATATCCAGCGAGAAACTAAAGCAGCTCCTTAAAGATTAAATACGACTTCTGTATCTTGCCATACTAAGTAACAAAACAGCGTACAGTAGCTACCTCAAACCCTGAAAATAACAGCTTGGTGAGAAGGTGAAAAATTAATGGCAACAGGGGAAGGATAAGTATTCTCATTTTTAGTGACTGACAGAATGTCACCCATTGGACGACAGCTCATCAGTGCTTAGCTGCTCTCAGTGTTTGTACATCATTCGCCTTACCTAGAGACACAAAAGTAGAAAGAAGCAGTAAAGACAGCACACACAAGCTATGGATGTTACAAGAGACTAACTTCTAAATACATTTTTTGATAATCATATGTAATTTACATTATTCATAACTTTTTCTCATTGTTATCCCTTAGCATATGGGTAAAATGCATATACTCATTACTTACCTAAGAGTAGGTTCTAGATGCCATGTATTGCACATAAAATCTCTCCAGTCCACAGTAGTATAAGTGATGCTGTCTTCTCTATCTTTATCAGAGGAATTGTCATCATGTATAATAATTGGACTTTTCTGTCCTGGTCGAGTAGATAAAATCCGAGGTGGAAAAATGGCTATGAGGAAAAGATTAGCATTATATATGTATATGTATAGATTAGTATTATACATTTATCTTAAATCACCATAAGAACAAAAGAATTGGTTCCATCTCTCATTGTATCTATGACCTGGCCAAGGACTCATTTAACTGCATTTCTTAAAAATATTTTTAAATAAGCCATAAATAAGTACCAATTATTGATATTTCTCGGAGATAATGTCAACATTAATGATAAAAATGCTGAGATCATTGATTTGATACAGCAAGCATATGGCACTGAAATTGACAGTTGTAGGTTTCCTAAAGGATGGCTATAGGTGGTGTTTTTTTAAATAGCTTTGAGATACAATTCACACACCATACCATTCATTTATTTAAGCTGTGTAATTCAATGGTTTTTGTATGTTAATGGATAGATGTATATATATTTGAACAGTGGTACTAAAGAGATTTTTATGTAGGCAGACTTTTCAGTCTTTATAAAGAGAAGTCTTTTAATTGGCTGTAATAAATAAATATAAAGTGGAATCTGAGACATAGGTATTAGGGTGATGCAAAAGTAATTGCAGTTTTTGCCATTAATACTTTCATATGATCTTATTTGATGAATACAGCTTTCCTCTTAGGGCATTAGATTCAGTATACAAACTGGATGTAAAATAATTAATTAGGTATTATGATATGTGTTATACAGCTCTGGTTATAACTTGATTGGGAATGAGCCTCAAAATAAAGCCGTAGTAACCCACTATGTAAGAACACAGATGCCCCCTTCAGTTAAGGCCTGCTCAGTTGGTGGGTTTTTGTTCATTATTGGTGCTGTTGTTACAGTGCTACAATTTATTTTGATATTCTTTAAAAATGTTGATTCTGGTATAGTCTGACATGCTGTTAAGAATTTTCTCAGGTATGTTTTGAGTATTTTAGCCAAAATGAATTGCTTACTTGTAATAACTTTGTTTATAATTGAAATCCTCACAGATATACTTTATTGTAAATCCACCCCCTTTTCCCATTGAAATGTTTTATAACAGTTTATATTTAAAACAGTCTTTCTGTTGTTTTTTAGAAATACACATAGCTTGTGGCAAACCAAGACCAACACAGTATTTCAAAAAATGACAAATGTTTCACAACATACCTGAGAGAAACAAATTTGCCAGGTTTTCAAATATAGGGAGACTAGAATATAATTCTGAACTTTACAGGTTTATGTTAAATCTGTTTTTCTCTACCTTAAGTTTAAATATTAAAAGCACAAAAACAAAAGGATTACCAGTGACTGGTATCTGTTGGGGCTGTATGTGAAGATTTTATCTACTTTTATATAAGATTGCCTATCATAGTTTATCATTTTACCTGAAGTTTCTACTGAGGTCATACAGATTTCTCCCATACATCATTATTGATTTTACTCTCTCACTGAATTTTGGGCACATCTTGACTGAATATTAATAAAAGGGCATTTCAGTCTATGCTATGCTACCTTTGCAATCTTTCAACATAGTCTTTTGATAAATCTTTTATTTTTAAAATACAAATTTTATATTTTCCACATGAAGAAAGTGAAGTATTATAGTGTGACCTGAACAAATTACATTATACCAAGCTATTTATTAAGAAACATCTGTGATTTTACCTTTGTATATTCATAATGGTGCAATAAATATTTATTGAATGAATAAATAGCCATATGTTTTGTAAACATTCCAAATCATTATATTTCAAACTATCTCATTCTTTTAAACAGTTACAGAGTACTATAATATATTAGCTAATTCTAGATATTAGGGTTGTCATACATTTTTTTTTTTTCTTTTTGATACAGGATCTCATTCTGTCACCCAGGCTGGAGTGCGGTGGTGTGATTATGGCTCACGGCTCACTGTAGTCTTGACCTCCCAGGCTCAAGTGATCTTCCCACCTCACAGCCTCCCAAGCAGGTGGGGACTACAGGTATGTGCCACCACATCTGGCTAATTTTTGTATTTTTTTTGGAATAGGGTCTCACTTTGTTTCCCAGGCTGGTCTCAAACCCCTGGGTTCAACCAGTCCATCTTCTTCAGCATCCCAAAGTGTTGGTATTACAGATGTGAGCCACACCCCCCGCCTTACATTTCTTAATGGGTAAACATTTAAGTTACTAGTGAGTAAACCAATGTTATCAAGCTCATGAACACAAAATACCACCATTGAGATCAAAATAACTTGTTTATTAAAAAGAAAATGTTCTCTGCATTCTAAACATTTATCATCTTAATTCAGTTTTCACAATTAGGTAAGTAACTCATGCTTCTTTATTATGTAGTTGTTTCTTTAGTCATTTCACTTTGATTTGCAGTATTTCCTCACATTTTTCTATTTTTCAAAAATCTCCTATAAGGTCTAACTGAAAATATACATAGGATAATGTATACAGAAACACTTTGTAAAGTATAAAACACCATTGGTGCTGTATATATAGCAAGTACTCAGAATGTCTGTGATAGTCTTACTAATGCTATTTACTGGTATCTTCAATTCATAGAAGGAGATATATATTCCACTCATTTTCTCACTAGACTGTAAAAATCAATGTAAATGGCATTGATAGCTGCCATTACTGCAGCCTGATAGAAAAGAATATTCCACCCACCTTTTTCTTTTTCTTTAAGATAAGCTGACACTAAATCATGAAGAAACATGATGAGCTCAGCATCCATAGTCACACAAATGTGGTCAGTGAACTCTGTCACCACACTGCATTCTACTTTTGGTTTCAGGTTGGCATCTGCAATAATATGGTAAAAGATTTAATGAAATGAGTAATCTTCTAAGGATTTATATAGGTCTATGGGTGTCATATCAGTGTTCAAAATGTTTTGAATTTTAGGGCATTTCAGATTTTTGGATTGGGAGGTTTAACCTATATATGCCATTAATTCCTCATAATAGTCCTATAAATGAAGTCCAGTTATTCTTCATTTTACTGAGGAGAGAGAGGTATAATCTGGTCAGATAATTTTCCAGAGATCATATAGCTGGTAAGAAAATAAATCAATTTTGCCTAGAAAATCAGTTTCATTATATATTAATGAAATTATCAAAAATAATCCATGGGAAGACAGCAATAGTTTGAAGTTTCTTTAGAATTTTCTTATTAACTTTAAATTGTTTTTCTCCATACCCTGTAATGAAGGTTCTTGTGGTTCTTGAACATGAATGGATTTAAAGTCAAGCTGCATCCTTGGTAATGCAAAGATAGTCTCTGTTTCATGGTTGTAGCTAGAACCTCCTCTGAATCCACTCAACAAACTAGAATTCTTCACAGTCGTGCTATTCTCAGTGTTGTTAGCATCAACGTTACGAAGTAGATTTAGCTCTACGTGCATAATGATAAAGACAGAGTCAAATTATTAAAACAACAGGCATTGACAAGCCTATATAGCTTTCAAGACAACTATAATATCAGAACTGTTATTTCAAAAATTGGAAAAAATCACATATATATGTATGTAGTATATCTATATTGATATCTGTATATCACTGTTGTCAAGACCAAAGCTTTATAATTGGATTTGTATAAACCCAATACATTCTAGTTTTGGTTTCTGGGATTTTAAAATGAATATTATTCTCAGCTGAATTCATATCTGAAGTTAGAATTTCACTAAGCCCAAAGGTCTCCATAGATGGAAGACTTCACTCTTACAGAATTTGAAATTAAATAGGATCCTGATCTTGAAGTCAGTTAGAAGTACTAATTTTCCCCAACACATATGCTATGATTAAATATAGATCTTAGTTTTATAAAAATCTTTTATAAATCTTAGAATTATAACAATTAGTATTTTTCTTCAGAACATTTCAGTACGCTAGTAGACACTTTAGAACACTCCAGCCATAAAAATCCCTCTTCCCCCAAATCCCTATTTGAAAGGGTTAAACAGTCAATATGGATATAATCTTCTAATTCACTCTCTTATTCTCCTTTGTTTAAAGAAATTTTTAACAGTCTCCTTTTTTTTTTTTTTTTTTTTCTTTTGATACGGAGTCTTGCTCTGTCGCCAGGCTGGAGTGCAGTGGTGCAATCTCGGCTCACGGCAACCTCCGCCTCCTGGGTTCAAGCGATTCTTCTGCCTCAGCCTCCTGAGTAGCTGGGACCACAGGCGCGTGCCACCATGCCCAGCTAATTTTTGTATTTTTAGTACAGACGATGTTTCACCCTGTTGGCCAGGATGGTCTCGATCTCTTAACCTTGTGATCCACCTGCCTTGGCCTCCCAGAGTGCTGGGATTACAAGCGTGAGCCACCGTGCCTGGCGCAGTCTCCATTTTTTAGCATTACTACAAAAATATTTTTCTAGGATCATTTCCGAAAAATTTCTAAAATATTTCTCAATATAATAAACTTTAATTTTATTTAAAGACAATCTTATTTTGAATGTTTCAATTACATCTAAAATGATTTGAGTTCATGAGATGCTGCATTACCAGGCTGGTATTAAACAGTTAAATGATGTATGTCAACCAGCAAGATTAAAATGAAAATTGTTTAAGGAAATGAAAACACCATCCTACTTAAATTCTAAACACAGTCAACAGAACCCAAAATGGAAATAACAAAATAAATCTCTCCAAAGACTCAAAATTTTAACCTTCATTCCTTGTGGCTGTAACATAATTGAACCATTCTTTCACACTTGCTACTCCATGGGGTGGGTTTTCATGGCGGCGCCTTGTTATCTTGGTTATTGTTGCCATTGGACTTTCCAAAGCACCACATGGTTTGGTAACCATGGTATTATGACCCAGATGAAAATCCAGTGTTTGTACAATATATGTAGAATGATCACTGGAGCCTACAACAAAATAAAAATTTTTTTTGAAGTAATAATCTGTATTTAGATTCAAGATGATAATTGTGGCCTCAGGGCCATATATTCATTTGTCATATATAGGAAGACTAGGAGGACAAAAACCAAATAATTAACAAATATTTCTTCTATTAGTGGTGATGGGATTTGTCCCTAGTAAGATGAAGAGCATCAAACGTTTTTTCCCCTCGTAATTTAGAAACCACCAAGTAGAAAAGTGAAGCTCAAAGTAAATGGTTTTATCACTGTAGAGGTAAAAGCACATCCATGCCTATATATTTGATAATACAGTCTTGACTGGCAAATAATTTCCTCGCACTACCACTATGTTGCCTTCACTTCTTTTTTTTTATAAGATTACAGTAACTATTGCCATGACTCTGTTTAGCCACAGCAGCAGAAACTTTAATTGCCTAAGCAAGAAACATAGAGTAAGATGGCAAGTTCAGATTAACATGTTCCAGACATTATAAATATTGACTCATTGGCAGTGAACTCCTTAACATGTCAGATACATGAGAACAAATAGAGACGGACTTCAGAAATATCATTGCCATTTATAGTCATAATAGAAAGGAGAAAGAAAAAGCTGGAAATGTGTCAGTTTACCATCTTCCCAGATTTTCTGAGCTTCAGTCCAAAAAGCAATATTTGGTTCTTCTAAATGAAAAAGAGCCCAAGATTTTGAACGGAAGTTTGGACCATGAAAACATGCCAGTGTCATATGATTTCCATGTAAACTCATTGATCCTCCAAATTGCATTCCATCTTCTGGTAATGGAATCTGAAATAAGGATATGTGGCATCCAGATACCACCTTCAGTACTCCAGGCCAGTGTCGATGATGTGCTGCATCAAGCACTGCAAGAAAACAAAAAAACACATATCCTGAAGTGCCTAATGAGTACCCTAGAATAGGGTAGAGTAAGGCAGCAAGTGGCAACTTTCTACAATCTCAGGAAAGGGATGAAAACAGTGTCCAGTGCCTGTTTAATATTAAGCAGTAGCTAATAAAGACACATTCTAGGAAAAGAGGCTGCATGAGGATAGCTAAAGAAAGTAGTCACTTGCCAATAATAATTAAAACTAGTATGTCTGAGGCTGGGTGCAGTGGCTCACACCTGTACTCCCAGCACTTTTGGATGCTGAGCTGGGTGGATCACTTGAGGTCAGGAGTTTGAGACCAGCCTGGTCTGCATTGTGAAACCCCTTCTCTACTAAAAATATAAAAATTAGCCAGGCGCAGTGGTGCATGCCTGTAGTCCCAGCTATTTGGGAGGCTGAGGCAGGAGAATTGCTTGAACCCAGGTGGCGGAGGTTGCAGTGAGCTGAGATCGTGCCATTGGACTCCAGCCTGGGTGACCAGAGTGAGAACCTGCCTAAAACAAACACAAACAACCCCCTCCCCCGACAAAACCACCTAATATATCTGTAATTGTTAATGAGTTAAAAGTACTTGCAAAATACTTTGTGTAATTCTCATAATAACTGTAAACTACATAAATAATCTTAACTAATTTCAAGTGAAGAAGCAGAACAAAGAGGTTAAGTGAACCAGTAACTGGAAAACCTAGAAATCAAATGCAGACCTCCTTAATTGGAGTACTACTTTTTAACTCTTCTATTTCTTTGCTACTCAAAGTGAGGTCAGAGGGCCAGCAGAATCAGCATCACTGAGAGCTTGTTAGAAATGCAGACTCTTAAGCCTGCCTGTACCTACTAAATCAAAATCTGTATTTTAAGAACATCTCCAGGGGTTTCTGATGCATGTTAAAGTTTGAGAAGCACTAATGAAACATTCAAGGTATATTTTCCATTTATTCCAGTAATGTTCCTTTTGTCTGTTTTTCATACCTCTCACCCATGATCCAAAACAAAGATCATGAATTGTATTCGGCTGGCATGTTTTCCTTAAAAAAATTCTCTAAGCCTTTATGTTTGTTTTTTGTGACAAGGAGTTTTTTTTTTTTTTTTTTTTTGAAGAATCCGGGCCAGGAATTTTGCAGAACATGGTTCAATTTGTATATGCCTAATATAAATTCTAGTTTTAAGGAAATACATGGACTAGAGGAAAAAGATAAAGGATACCACAAGGAGGTAACTGAAAAAGATCTAGAAGGTAGGGCATTCCTTAGGACAGTTGGCTATATCTCCTCAACAAGTCAGTTCATATAAAAAATGAACTATGCTAAATTAAAAGAAGGTAAAGGAACGTAACCATATTTAACCTGTGATCTTGGATTGGATAAACTGCTTTGGACAAACCCATTATAGAGGATATTTTTAGGTCAATCATAGAAATCGGAATGTGTTTTGAAAGCTAAAGGAGATAATTAGCAAAATGCAAAGTTGGAGGTGATATACAAAATGTTATGTGTTTTGATTTCATAAAATATACACATACATACAGATACATAGAAAAATATCTGGAAGTATATGCTTTAAGGTGTTTACAGTGATTTCTGAGTGGAATGTGATGATTTTTTGCTTCTATTGTGTTTTGTTTTGTTTTTTTTCCAATGTACATGCATTACTTCTGTGATAACAGAGTTATTAAAAAGCTATCCCTCATTCTGACTGCTTCTCACTACTTACACCTCTATCATCCTAGTGAAAGCCACCATTTCCTGTCTGGAGTGTTGCAATGGCTTCCTTACAATAATGATGTAACTATGTATGTAACAATGGTAATGGTAACTATTGCAATTGTTTCCTTCCATTCTTAACTACCTATAGTCTGTTCTTCACATAGTAGCCAGAATGAGCTTTAAAAGGGAGTTTTTTTTAAATTATACTTTAAGTTCTAGGGTACAGGTGCAGAACATGCAGGTTTGTTACACAGGTATACATGTGCCATGGTGGTTTGCTGCACCTATCAACCCGTCATCTACATTAGGTATTTCTCCTAATGCTATCCCTTCCCCCTACAGGCCCCAGAGTGTGATGTTCCTCTCCCTGTGTCCATGTGTTCTCATTGTTCAAAAAGGGAGTATTTTTTAAAAAGGTAAATCAGATATCAAATCTGTTTAAAACTCTCTGATAGCTAACCATCATATTAAAAATCTTATCTGTGGTGTAGCTCTGTGAATTCACGTTCAACATTTTCGTCCTTGCTCATGTCTGTTCCAGCCACAGTGGCAACCTTAATGATCCTTAAGCCAAGTTTGTTCCTACTATGGGAACTTTGGACTCAATATCCCCCTATGCCTGGAACTCTCTTCTACCACATCTTAGCCTCATTCTTTCATTCACATTTCCACTAAAATGTCACTTCAGAAAAGGCCTAAATGATCACCCTTTCAAAAATAGCTATCCTTACATTTAATCATTCTCTATATTCTTCCTCTGTTTTTGTTCTTTTGCTTAGCACTTCTCTCTTACTGAAATTATCTTACATATTTAGTTAGTAAATTTATTATGGTCTTTCTCTCCTATTATAGTTTAAGCTTCAAGAGGGTAGTAATTCTGTCCACCACTAGATTTCCTGTGCCTAGAATAGTGCTTAAGTACATGGTTGTAGCTTAATAAATATTTGCCAATTGAATTACTAAGTAAAAATAAGGATGATCTTACTATCACTCACCTAATAAATCCAAACTCAGATATTCTGACTCCACAGACATTCTAAACCAGAACATGATATTGTCATAAATGTGGGTATGGATGCACATGCACTGCAGCAGGGGGAAGGGATAATAAATGATAACTTCCTAAATGATGATGACCTCTAATTCCACTGGCAGGTAGAAAATCTGGTCCTTTGCTAATTGAGTAGGATAAAAAGCCTGTGGGCGGCCGGGCATGGTGGCTCACACCTGTAATCCCAGCACTCCGGGAGGCCGAGGCGAGGGGATCACGAGGTCAAGAGATCGAGACCATGTTGAAACCCCGTCACTACCAAAAAATACAAAAATTAGCTGGGCATGGTGGTGCGCGTCTGTAGTCCCAGCTACTCAGGAGGCTGAGGCAGGAGAACTGCTTGAACCTGGGAGGCGGAGGTTGCAGTGAGCCGAGATTGCGCCACTGCACTCCAGCCTGGTGCCTGGCAACACAGTGAGACTCAGTCTCAAAAAAAAAAAAAAAAAAAAAAAAAAAAAAGCCTGTGGGCTATTTTGTAAGAAGGGCGTACAGATTATTATTTTTAATTAAAAATGTAACATATTTAGTGAAACTACAGCATATATAAAAGCTTAATTCTAATTCTTACATTGTTCTTGTGAACTTTTTTCTAGGTTGCTAGTCATTGTCTTTGGTGGAAGATAAGGAACTGGTCCCCAAGTAGACAGCGCTCGTTTGCTGGTATCAAATTGTTGTGTGAAAAATTCCTGGAGCTTCATTCCTATTTTTATTAGATCTGGTGTGGTTGATCTTGATATCATTACTTGGAAAATATCCCACTTCAAATCTCCATGGACAAAAATCTCACTAGAATATAAAACAGAATCTTTGTCATATGTCTTACAGAAGATACTCAAAAAGTACAAGAAACATTTTCATCCCCCTAGCTTTTTAATTTGTATTAATTGCATAATAAATAATTTTATAGGAAAAATTGCTGTTTTCTCACTAGATGGTAGAAAACATGTTAACAGTCATGTAAAGTGTCCAAAAGTAATCCTTAATAAATACCTTTTATCAGTTATGCTTGAATCCAATGTATTATACAAGTTTACTTTCCATTCATCCTGAAGCTTAAGATCAGCATTACTGAAGATGCCCATGAGGATACTTGAGCCCATGTAATCAACACGAGCTTCAGTAGAACCCATAGTAATCTGAATTTTGTGACTGGGCTGCTGATTTGGATGTTCGGAAATATGTGCTAAAACAAAAACAATAATTAATTTTCACAGAAATGTCCATGGGAAAAATTCAGAATCAATTTCCAAAAGTAAATATATATATTTTAAAGATATGTTAGATCAGTTGTAAAATTTCAACATACCAACCATCTCCAAAGCATTGACATCTATGGTCCCTCCAACTACTCCTCCTTTAGAATCTAATTGTGATCTTCCCAGACCAACAGACATGCTAATTTCTCGATCACGATTACTTCCTACTGACAGACGGCCCTGGCTCTTCAAACCACTAGTTGTCCAACTAAAGGAAAAAAAAGTTCTTAGTTAGATATACAGCTTCCAGTGTCATGAATTAAAACAGGATTTAAATTCAAAAGGAGTTAAATCAGATTATTTAAAAGGTCAAGTTTGACAGTGAAACAACATACTTTTTATAAAAACTATGTGGTAAACACTTGAATATTAACATTGATAATGAAACTTTACTCCTAGCTGGAAAATTAGCCTATTCTCCTTATAATTGATTCCCTTTTTATAGAACACATATTCCATGCTATTTTATATTGCGGTATCCTTAGAATTAAGCCATTTTCAAGATAAAACATATCTTTAATGAACTATCTTTTTCAAATATTTCAGCATTCAAAAAAGGTTCTGAATATCTTTACAATAGAAGAAAAATTACAAAAATGATTAAAAACATTTCCTTTGTATCTGAATAGCTTACGTTGTATTTCCCATTACATTACTCATATTCATTTGAACGTTTAATTGCTTCAAGTTGATAGCAAACACGACTAGTGTTTCCCATGGGGTCCCTTGTTGGCTTGCTGCTTTATTTGATTTGTTAAAAGGAGTTGATGTTTTTGAAAGTGAATCTAAAAACAGAAAAATCAAATACATATTCATTTACATAAATACCAAGCTAGTTACAAAGCAAAAACTATTCTTATCACTATAATCCAAAAAGTAAAATGTAATATTCTTGTATTAGAATCTGTTGTTTAATAGTTAATATTGCCTCTAAAGTAATAGTTACCATTTACTAGATGTTTAGTAAGTGCTGGCAGCCTTACCTCTTGAAAGCTCATAAAATTATGTATGGCCCCCATTTTATATAAGGAAATTCTTGTGTGCAGGGGATATAGCAGCACAGATCATGTATCACCCAAGGATTTTTTTGCTTTTTTTAAGAGATGTGGCCTTGCTGTGTTGCCCAGGCTGGAGTGCAGTGGCTATTCACAGGCGCAATCCCACCACTGATCAGCACAGGAGTTTTGACTTGCTCCATTTCTAACCTGGGCCAGTTCACCCCTCCTTAGGCAACCTGGTGGTCACCCGCTCCCAGGAGGTCACCATATTGATGCTGAACTTAGTGTGGACACCCAATCAGCATAGCACACTACAACCCACCTCTGCCTCCTGAGTAGCTGGGGCTGCAGGTGCACATCACCACGCCCAGCAGGATTTTGTTTAAGAAAGAAGAAAATCATAAGGTACTGTTGCCACATAGAGGACTCAAAGGCAGAAACACTTCTGAAATGCAGACGCCGGTTGGGGTGCCTGTCTTTTATGTTCTTACGGACTTAGTGTGTATCTTGCATCCTGCATTTGCTCATTATATTTTAATCTTTTGATAAGAACTACATCGTTTTTATACAATCAGGTGCAAGTACAAGGCCAAGGCCATATGGAACACACTAACAATATACTAATTCCTCTCCCCTTATCTGCTTGTAAAGCTACTGGCCATCTAGGTGTCTTGTTGGCAATACTCTGAAATGTTTGTTTTGTTGTTTTGGGGGATTTTTTTTTTTAATGTATCATAAAAACCTCAAGAGTAGATCTTCCTATACTTAGGGCTGAAATCTGAGAGTAACTAAAATTTTATCTTGAGAACACTGGAGGGCTACTGATAACAAAAAGAGCAGTGTTACCTCTTCGAGGAACTGAAGAATCAGATACACTCCTTGATCTTATGGAAGCTGGGGATTTTAGGCTTTGTCCTACTGTCCCTGGTGACATGGTGCTGTTTGTCATATGCTCGTTGAACACATTAGGTGACTGAGGCATGTGGGTGAAAGAGGCTGACTGACTTGGTTGCTCCCAGGTCTTGCAGTAAGCTTTTCTTGATGATTCAGGGGAAAGGTGTTGGCTTACCCCTTCAATGGAGTCAGGTGTTCCTGGGCCAGATGCTAGTAGAAAACAAAACAAAAAATCCAAATTAAAGGTGAAATCCTTATGTTATAATTTCACCCATCCATTTCTAATCACATTATGTATTCCTTCTAGTTCTCTGTTTGGCAGCTGTACAGCAATTTACAGTTTGCAAAGAACATTCCAGTATTTTGTTTAAACTCCATGAAAAATGCAAAACAGGAGCTCTGTTCCCAGTTTACAGGTAAGAAAATACACGCAGACCTAGAGTTTCTCATATTTGCCTCTGTATGTAACTGACCCTACTTTTAACTTCCAAAAATCTCTTGATTTCGTTACCTACAACAATATCTAAATCCAGCAGACAAATGCAGGTAAGATAGTAACATGTTCCCAACATCTTCTGTTTCCCATGCTTAACTAACCATAATTAACTTGGATATTTGAAAGGATTACAGAGTAATCATTATAGCATAAATGTACTAAAAATGTTATTAATTTACAAGTTTACTAATTTGTTAGTACAGTTACAGAATAAAAAGTCAGCTGGAATATAATCTCAAAGAAGGCAAGACTTTTTGTCTCTTTGGTTCTCTGATATATCCTGAGTGCTAATGTGTATCCCTTGTGGTTGGCATATTAGAGGTGCCCAGTGGACATTATGAAATGACTGAATGTATCACATGGTACACTCTACCAAGTAAGATCAAGTTTGTGTTATCAATTAGGTCTTGCTGCTATTGTAACCAAAATTAAAATTACATAACAAGCTTACTTGGCAAATTTATAGTTTGGTCTCCGAGGAATAGACGTCTTGCAATACTTCTCCTATACCATGCTCTTGGAAATGCCAGAATTTCACTGAGTCGGCGCATATCATATTTAAAGGAGGCAGACCCTATATCACAAACAGCTGATACATAAATAACATTTGTTAGTACAGATTTCTAAAACCCTTAATGTTTTCACATGATAGGTATAAGACAGGGTTATTATACAGCTGAATTATATTTAAGTTACATATTATGATTAGTAAGTGATACGTTCTTCCACACATTGCAAAAACAGCACATTCTAACACTGTTAGTACCATTTTCCTTTTTTGAGGTGATGGCAAGTTGGAATTCTATTATCACTTTATTATGAAATCCTCAGATAAGTTCTAAAGATTAGTCTAATAGCCGGCTTTCAATTTTAACACAGCATTCTTCTCTATTATGGAAAATCAATCATCAGGATGAGCTGGTATACAAATTTTCTCAAAAGGAAGTGTAAACCAAATGGCTGTGGGGCAGGGACTACTATTTTCCTATCAGACAAAAAACATTCTGATGGCCTTTTTCCAGAGTTCTGCTCTGGAGCATTCTTCTGCTGCTGTTGCACATGCTCTTCTATTCTTCTGCCATAGTTTCTATAGGGTTTACAAGCCAATGTCTTCCAAAGCTAAAATTTCTGTTTTTGTCTGAGCCCATACCTACATAGCCATAGTCCCTAAGTCAACTGTCTACCAGAACCTTCCACCTAAATGTCCTATAGACATTTCCTTATTTTCCAAGTTCATGGCTTCACTGCTCCTTCAGTCATGTAAGCTAAAAGTTTGAGACATTCTTGTCTCCTCTGCTGCCCCTAATACAACTTGTACTCAAGCTTATGGATTCTCTTGTATCTCTCTTAAACCCACTCCTCATTCCCTTTTCTTTTTTTACTGCCAGTTTAGGCTTTCATCTACTACTGCATGGTCTATTTCAACAGTCTCCTCAAGGATCTTTCTTTCCTATCTTTCATGCTACCATGAACTCTCTTTCTAAAACATATTCTGAAGTATCACCGTGTTTCTTAACCTCTAATGGCTTCTCACTGCCTAAAAGATCAGAACCCAATTCTTCAGCATATGAGTCCCTCCATAATTGGGTCCTATTTTATCAACATTACCTCTAGCCTATTTCTAGCTCCATCTAGTTTGTACAACCAATTAAATGTTCACTTATACCATATGCTTCAGCCACAGCAAATCAAACTATGATCCAGAAGCATACATTTTGATGCTTCTGTGCCACTGAATACTATGCTACTACCTCCAAGAATATTCCTACTCATTTTTCAGAATCTTCACCAAATAACATTTCCCATGTCAAGCCTTTTCTGATTTCTCATACAAGACAGAATTTATTGTTTCCTCCTCTTTATATAAAGTTCCATTATAGCATTTATTATCCTGGACTCATTTATTTGTCTACACATAAGACCTTGTCGAATTCATGCCTGCTCCCCTCAGTCACTCAGCAATCTCTGACAAAGGTGTACTCTAAAACGTAGGCTTAATATATATTTGCAGAATACTGGGTTAAGTGAACATACTGTATTTATTTGATTCATAATTATGAAAGTTTTTACTGAGTATTCTGAATTCTTCAGAACGTTCTATTTGCATTTAATTTTCAATATTCAAATCACAATGTAAAGTAAATGAGTGATTTGCCCATAGTTATACAGCTGTTTTTAAAACCAGCAATACACATGCAAACAATTCAAAGTTTTCTAACATCAAGTAAACATTTTTAAACATCATTTATCCCATTTTAGTGTTTTAAGCACTTACAATTAGAAAAAACCAAAACTGTAACAATTCGTGGAGAAGAAGTGAAGAAAAGAAGTAACTTTTATTGATTTAATTAGGTATATTTGGCCCTTGGGTGATTGATAGGTCTATTTATCTAGAAATCATATTCCTAACATTGATTACTTGGACTGAAACAGTACCATAGGCTGGACGTTCCTCTCCTTTAAATCCAACTTATCACTGAAAAGCTTAACATTAATTGACTTAATATTTAAACACTATTAAAACAGAGGCCATTATTTAATTTTGGAAAACAATATTTTAATTTAAAAACTATAAAATTGAGTACCAGATATATTTATTAAAGTAGTATCCATTTTGCTTGCAGACTTGCTTACAGACTGATTTTCAAAAAATGAGGCACCTCCTGAACGCCTGATCCGTGACAAACTCACTTTTACAAACTCAAGGTTTATACTGAGTGAATCTTTTCGCCCAGTGACTGAAGTGGGCTCCTCATCTACATTCCCTTTAAAATAAACAAACACAAATTCCCACATTTATATATACATGAATGCACACAGCTGTCTAGTTAAGTGAAAATTATCTAATATACTGTAATATGGTATGAATTAAAATCACTTGAGGTAAAAACTTAAGCAGAATGATCTAATGAGTATTAGCATTCCTAACAACAATTTAAGAGGTTCAAACCCATAAACATAATTGGTGATTTTTACAATTCTTCTCCAACAATGGAAACTAGAATTGACATGGAATATATATTTTCATCATTTGTTTAAATACAAGTCAAGAGATAGTTACTAATAATAAGCTCTTATGCATTTTAGTGGTTTGTCTCACTTCAAACTGCCAATGAAATTTAATTTCACTAAATGACTGACTTATAGTCTCTTTTTAAATTAACAAATGTGACCCATTCAATTTAAAATTTTACTTTTTATACAGTTTCTTATACAAATGGACAGTGATTTGCTAAGACATTTAAACATTTCAATAAGATAAGTAATCTCTGATATTCAGTAATCTGAATATTAGAGATTACTGTGCTCTGTATATTGCTTAGAAAATATTCTGAATATTAAAATTCTTGTATAATTATTGTATATGTCTACATATTATGTAAAGCTGAGCTAGGTATTATCAAAGAGGAAAAATATAAAAAGCATCTGATCTTGTCTATGTCCCTTATGATTTATGAAAAGAAAGCTTGAAAGCTTGAAAAGATGCTACAGATCTGAAAAAGACATAAACATGCAAAGTATACCTAATCCTCCTGATCCAGCTGTAAGGCCAGAAACAGCAGTTTTTTGTTTTCCCGCTCCATATGGATGAAATACATAAAGGGAAAAGTCAGACATGCATGCAGTGAAGCTCAGGCCAGATGAACTACTGCTGGAAGTGGTCAGATCTGACTGACTACTACTATGTCGACTTCGGCCAAGAGGGCTGCCTAATCCCGATGAACCTACAGTGAACACAAGAAATTCAAAGTATTTATAAGCCATGAGAAAAAAAGGCCAGTCAATAATATGTTCTTAAGAACCAAACATGACTTCAGAATAAAATGGAAACACTCAAACATTAACAGATCAATATATTTTAATCCTTAAAACTAAAATAAGGACTTAGATGTATTTTCCAATTAATTTACACAAGGGCTGAAAACTGTTTATCCTTACAACAGTTACTTATATTTATATATGTTTGGCCTACTGCATGGTTTCCTATTTCTTTTCTCCTTCACTATTAGAAGCAGGCAGTGGAACAGGCCCATAATAGTTGGACTCAAGCAAAGGGGGAGGAGAACATACTGTAAAAAATCCATATCATATACTTGGAGTTGACACTTCAGTAAGTACAGTGGAAACAGAACCATGTATGCACATGCAGAAAGTAAAAAAAAAAAAAAAAAATCTCCGTTAGCCAAGTGTCCTTGTTGGTAACATTTACTAGGGAAGGAGATGTAAATTCCAAAAACATAAAAAAACGAGACCATTTAAATAGATTATTAAATGATTTTGTTGGTGATTCCAAAATATATGTCCAGACCAGACTTCCTTTGGATTTATATATTACAACTGCCTACTTGACTTCCTGTTAGAATGGGTCACAGGCATTTAAACTGAACTGCACTCTGGATTTTTTCCTTGAATTTGCTTTTCTTCCGGTGTTCCCCATAACTAGTAAGTGATACTTCCGTGAAAATAACTCAACCAAAACCTGTCATCCTTCCTATTCCTATCTGTCATGCAATTTATCATTCATAATTTCTATATCTCAGGTAAATAAGCTCTGTCCATTTCCTTCCACTGCTGCCATTCTAGCTTAAGCAATCATTAACTCTGTCTGGACTACAGAAAAGTCTCTCCTTGCCTTGTCCTACTCGAATCAACTGCTACACTGCAGCTGGACTGGTATTCTAAAAGTATGTATGTGAATCATATCCACTCCCTTGCTTAACCTTTCAGTGGCTTTCCCACATGAGTTTCTCTCTTAACCTTTCTTATGCAAGTCTCCATGCTTATAATGGCTTTTTTTTTTCCTTTTTGTTATTCTGAGTTGCCAAACTGTTTGTTCATGTTGAATTTTGTATTCTCTCCCGGTGTTCGTTCCCTGAACTCTCTGCTTAGCTAACTCATACTCACTTCATGTTTCCATTTAAAATAAGCCTGTTTGCTGGGCTATTATTTGCTCTTCCACATTCAGTTTAGGTTCTACATTAGTAAGTATGTATCATGTCTATTAGCTAAGATCACTATTCTTATCCCCTAGCACTGACCCAGACCACAAAGATTCTTTGAAAGAATGGATATTGTCACAACCTGTATATTCTCATCATCATTCCTTGAATATTCTATAATGATAAAATGAGGGTTGCTATTCATTTGTGTTGTTTTCTAAAGAATGATAAAAGTTGGGCATAAAAAAGGTTCACATTTCATATTCCTTTCACTACTTATTCCTAGCGTGGTGCATATATACTGCTAATAATTTAAGTTCTAATAATTTATGACATTATGACCAGTCTGTCATTAAGAAAAAGATTAACATTCCAAAAGAGAAATGAGCGTGGACATATATTTACCATTCCCAACAAATAGCTAATAAAGTATAGAGTATAGATTAAAATAATAAAATCCAATTTTAATCCATCCCATTGACAGTGATTAAAATTAAAAACAGTATGGGGAAGAACACAATGGACTGGTGTCCATATACACTGTGGTGAGAATGTAGAAATCTTGGTCTTACCAGAAAGCAAATGTATCAAACACTTTCAGAATGTTCATACTTCCTAACCTAGAAATTTCTACTTTTAAGAATTTCTCTTAAGAATATATGTTTGTTTAAAAATATTTACATACAAAGATGTTGATTTTAGTATTATTTTAAAAGGAAAATAACCCAGGAATCTCAAGTATATGATCAAAATGATGGAATATCATATAGCCACTAATTTTAGAGATGAATATTTAATAATATAGGAAAATAACTATGATATTTTAAATTTTAAAAAGTTACATAGCAGAACAGGCCATATTTCAGTTTTTGCTTTGGAAAATGATTGTATCACTACAGAAATGCTGTAGTGTTACCAGAGATAACAATGGTTATCTATGATAGATAAAGAGATATTCTTATTTTCAGTACATCTTTAGTGTACTATTTTCTATAATGAATAGTGGGTGTAACTTTATTATAATCAGAAACCAGCACTAACACTATAATATCTTATTGACAATACAACTCCAACAGCAATATTTTGGAACTTAGTAGTAGATAATGGGTGACCAGATTAGCAAAATCTTTATATCAAACTTTTTGTTTGTGAAAACTTCCAAAGATTCACACAGCAAAACAAATGACATTCCTATAACCATTTCCCCACTAATACAAGTAAATGCTGGAGGAATTTTGGGATGCTTTCTCACAAGCCAGTCTGTAATAATTTTTCCAACTGATATTTGATGAAATTATTAGAATAAAGATTTGACTCTAAGATGACTCTTAATATATAGCACCCAAAACCCATGCTGTATTTCCTTACAAATCAGAAAAGTATTTTCCCCTCCACTGTTTTCATGCCTCTCTCAAAAATGGAATTTAGTATTTTATTTTTTATCCCTCTTAATGCAAGCCTTCTCAACCTTGATTTTACTGACATTTTCAACCAGATAATTCTTTGGCAGTGGAGGGGGTTGTCATATATACTATAGAATGTTTAGTAGCATCTCTGACTTCCATAGTAGCTGCCAGCTGTACCCCCCTCAGTAATGACTATAAAAATTGTCTCCCAAAACTGCCAACAAGATAGCTCCTGGTTAAAACCACTATTTTAATGATATTCCAGTTTTCTTATCAGTTTTCATTCAATCTAGTCTCTTTTTTAGAGGTATTCAAGAAAATCTTTACTATTTGCATGTGTGATCTCTATTCAATTTTTAGGGCAGAAATGGTACCCAGCATTAACACAGTGAGGAATACCTATCATCTCAGGAAGTCAATTATGTTTTAAAACGAAACCTTTTATGAAACACATAGATAAGTTAGAAAACCAAATTTGCCATTTAAAAATATATATGCTACTGCTACTTGATAGAGTTTTCAGTCAGTATAAGAAAGAAATCCCTGTAAGGTAACACTATGTTTCTTATTTTCTATTTGCAACACTGATTACTCTTTAATGTCAAATAGAGCTAAATATAAAAAATATTCAAAAATACTTGAATGTGTGGATTATTATACAGTATTTATGTCATAGTGCTTGCAGTGTGTACATTCAAGCCAAATTTAAAATGCTGTTTCATTGCCATTCAGCTAAAAAAAAAAAAAAAAAAGAGTACTCAATTTCAAGTAACACATGAAATATACTCAAAACACTGGTCTACTATAGATTTTTTCTATAATCCTCAAATATTCCCCTTTTCCAAATGTATTTTAAAACATATATTAATTACTATTAAAATATTGATTTAAAAGTAATATTTGGTTTTGTACTAGACTAATAAAAGACCATTATCTATACCTGGTATTCCAGTTTTGCTAGCAGAAGTCTTTGTTCCACTCTGAGTAGCATTACCTCCAGGGGATAAAGTCTCTGCAGTATATGTAGTCCCTAAAGTCTCTAGTTCTCCTCGGTTTGAAGAAAACACCAAGTCCAGGGATGGCAGCTTTAGCATGCATTCTACTCTTGATACTGGTAAACAGCTAAATTTGATCTGTGAGGGCTAAAAATAACAGAAAGCAAAAGGTTTCTAGGAATTGGATAAAGAAAAGTTTTAAATGGAAATAATATTGAAATGTTCAAATAAACTTAAGAAAAACATTAAAAAAAAAAACAAAAAAAAACCAGAAATGAAGTATATCACCTGAACTCATACTTGAACCACAGTATCTACAGGGAAGTTAAAAAACTGAATTTCAAAGCTTACATTTAATTTTCATTTCAGTCTACATATATTGATCATGTTTACTCATTTGATACTTAAGATTTTGTGTTTATTGTCCTAGCTTTTTAAAACAGAAGCATGATATAAAAATCAAAATGTATAAACAAAATGCTACCATTTTTAAGAAGCTAAATATTTGAGGAGCCATCTCTGAGCAATATGACAGTTGACCCCTGAACACCACAGGTTTGAACTGTGCCAGTCCAATTAATATATCGAGTTTTTCAGCCAAACATGGATTGAAAATACAGCATTCTGGGATGAAAAATCCGCATATACAGAGGGCTGTTTCTTTTCTTTTTTAGTAATTCTTCAGGGCTGACTGCAGGATTTGAGTATATGTGGATTTTGGTATATATGGTGGGGAGGCAGGAGTAGTCCTAAAGCCAATCTCCTAAGTATACAGAGGGACTCACTCTGTTGCCCAGGCTGGACTGCAGTGGTACAATTATGGCTCACTGCAGCTTTTGACCTACCAGTCTCAAGCAATCTTGTGATCCCAATCTCTCAAGTAGCTAGGACCACAGATGCAGACCACCATGCCTGGCTAGGTTTTTCTTTTTTTTTTTTTTTTTGTTAGAGATGGGGTCTCCATATGTAGCCCAGGCTGGGCTCAAACTCCTGGGCTCAAGTGGTATACCCACCTCAGCCTCCCAAAGTGCTGTGATTACAGGTGTGAGCCACTGCACCCAGCCCAAAGGTTTTATAACCCTCAAGCCCTCATTCATTGTGTTTCCATCAGACCTTTAAAAAAGCTAGCTAAAAATTCTAGAATGTAAGACTGAAGCTCTTTTGGCCACATTACTATTACGGAAAATAGTTGGAACAGATGACCATTAGTGTTTCTTTTACTCTTAAGATTGATTATCAGATTTTAATTGAGGATCAACTGAACCCTGAAGTTTTGATACAAGTAGTTTTCAAATCCTCCTTGATAAACATATTTAATTAAATGCTAACATATACTCCCAAAGGCCTATTGGTAGCATTGAATTTTAGAATAAAATGTTAAATAAAAACTAGGTAACTCTTAGCAAAAATTTTAACAAAGGCACTATTGTGATTTTATATCTCAATTACACTTTATATCTGCCCAGAAGAACTATAATGGCAAGAAATTAAGGTCTCAAAATAAAGGCATAAAATGCTTAAAAAAGGGTATCATCAACTTGTTTGCCACAGAAGTATGAGATTCAATTTTTGAAAACCCAAAGATCTATGACACTTTTTGGTAGAAAAGTGAATACAGATGAGCTCCAATTTAGGATTTTTCTACTTTATGATGGTGTGAAAATGATACACATTCAGTAGAAACTGTACTTTGAGTACCCACATAACCATTCTGCATTTCGTTTTCAGTACAACATTCAATAAATTAATGAGATATTCAACATTTTATTATAAAAGGCTTTGTGTTAGATGATTTTACCCAACTGAAGGCTAATGTGTTCTGAGCACATTTAAGGTAAGCTAGTCTAAGGTAAGCTTACCTTACATGATGTTTGGTAAGTTAGATGTATTAAATCCATTACGGACTTAAGCTATTTAGTTTATGATGGGTTAATTAGAACATAATGACTTTGTAACTTGAGCATCTGTATACACTTAAAATGTTAAATGTACTTCACAGATGTTCAGGTAACCTCCAATCCATCATAAACATACTAATGGTTCATGAACCTGAGATTAAGAAAACTTTTAAACAGTAATAATGTTGAAATGTTAAATAAACTTAAGGAAAACATTTTTCTTTAAAACAAAAAGAAAAAAAATGAAGTATATCACCTGAACTCGTACATAAACCACAACATCTACAGGGAAGGAAGAATAAGCAGATGTTGAAGATGACACTAGTGATGTTGTTGACTCTTCCATAGGATCTGGTATTTCAAAATGTCCCATATCTTCATCTTGTGAGCTGACAGCTGTTTAAAATATTTAGTTAAGTTTTATGATTAGGTCAAAGGCAAACTATTTATTAAAAGATCCTTATTGTTTATACTAGTGAGAGGAGAGGTATGAACACCCAGAAATTTCTGCTTCTGTAGCTCTTCATTCTATACTTCTTTCCCTGTTCACACCCTCTTGCTCATTCCCCCAAACTCAAATTCTCCTGCTGCTATACCAAACACTTTACCAAGAAACTGGTGATTATACCCTTGCCCTCGAGGAGATTCCAGTCCAAGAGACACACTAAGGATGCAGAACCTAAGGATCTTAATTTTGTCCTTAACTAGCTGTGGCCATGGGAAAGTTATGTAACTTCACCAGGACTTAGTTTCTTCATTTGTAAATGACAATTAGATGATCTCTCAGTTCTTTTACAGTTTATAATTCTTTACTATTTATAATTGCACATATTATGTAATAATATATAGCAGCATTAAGAAAACCTTATATACAAGATCCCAAAATATATGTGATGGGGAGGTATATAAGGACGCTTACCTGTATAATTCCTTTCAATTGGTGTAATTGGGATAGTTTCCAGAGCTTTTTCCAGAAAGTCTAATAGGCAGGGACTGATAACCATTTCTTCTGGCAATGACTGAAGTGCTACCCAGGCATATAACTTGGCTGTTTTTACTCCTCCACTTCCTTTTCCTTTGGCTAGAACATTTATAAATTCCATTTAATGGATTTTATAAAAAGTTCCAATTTAACATAAGACAGCTTTGTCAGAAATTTGAATTAAAGTTTAATTAAGTAAAGCACCTCATATTTAAGGCCTTACAAGAAAGTAATAAAAATAGCAGGTTGAGAAGAATTATATGTTAGAATACAAAGGTGATTAACAACATATAATAAGATGGTTATTCCTACTTGCTCCATGTCACAAGTTTTGGTCCAGTTTTTCGGCCTTTTTGCTTAGCCTCTCATTAGCATTAGTCCTTCTGTCCATTTAAGAAGATATAGAGAACTTTAACAGTATTTAGTGGCAAGTGAAGAAAAATGTCACAATTTTCAGGCTTTCCTATGTTTAGCTTGTACATATTTATAATGCTTCCCTATATGGGATGCCATTTGTCTTTCCTTCTACCTAACTAAATATTTCTGCTTCAGGAGAATGAGTAAAACATCTTAGCTAGCTTTGGCTAAGGTTTCCAACTCTTAACATTTATCAGTTGTGCAAATCTAGGAAAGACATTCAACTTCTATGAGCCTTAACTCATTTATAAAATGGGTTAATATCTGCCATCCACTTATTGGACATAGACATGCCTTGTTAACTGAAAAGTGATATTAAGCATTATCAGCATGATTACTGTTTTAAAAGGTTTATATATCAAGTTCTGTCTCCTAAATAAAACTTTTTCAAATAATTCTTGTCTAGTCTGATACTCCGTTTTTTTGGAAATCCTGCCATGTATTAATGTGCTATGGTAGCCAGATTCCAAGATGATGTTCAAGGATCCTTGCTTCCTGGTATTCATGCCCTTGTGTAGTTTCTTCCCATACTGACCTGTGTGATGAGTAAAAGCTGTGGCAGTGATGGCATGTGACTTCAAAGGCTAAGCCATAAAATATATTGCAGCTTCATCCATAGTATCTTTTGGATCATTTCTTTTGAGGGAAGTCAACCGCCATATCATGAGAATGCTCAAGAGGCCCAGTACAGAAGCCCACATGGGAAGAAACTGAAGTACCAGTTAATAAGTCACATGACTGGGATATGTTAGAGGCAGATTTTTCGGCCCCAGTCAAGTATTCAGATGTCTCTAGCCCTAGCCAGTGTCATGACTGCAATCTTGTAAAAGACCATGAGTTAGATCCACTGAGCCAAACTGTGCCTGCATTTCTGATCAACAGAACCTGTGTTTGAGGTTATAAGCCACTAAATTCTGGGGAATCTGTTATACAACAGAGAAGTAATAAATGTGGTTAAGCCCAATGTACTACTCTTTTAAATGTGTAAAGTTTGATATTTGCATTTGATCATAAGTTCCCAAATTTGAACTACATAAAACTCCTTTTTTTTTTTTTTAATGTATAGACCTAAAGATTTAAGTAATTAACCTATTTGGTATACTCTGATGTCAATTTCAAAAACAGCCAAAAATAGTTGGCCCACACTTCCATATACAAATTTTGTATAGTCATTATTGACAAGTCTGTGTCCTTTTTTTTCTTAAACATGTGCATTTGAAAGTCTCAAAAGAGCAAGTAGGTAATAACTAAAAATTTTAAAGATGACAAAAAATAGAGTATATACTCCTTAAATACCTGTGGGAATAGGTGGGGGCTGGGGAGGAAGTAAGGTGTTAGTCTTGCTCTGGACAGTGCAAGGTAAAGGAGGAGAAGGAGGAGATGTTGCACTATCTTTCATACCATACAGCTTGGACTCTTTGGAGAGTGTTCTTGGCAAGGAAGATCCTCTGGAGGCATTAGGTGATTCAGTCTTTAGTGTCTTGGAATTGTAATGCAACTGTATTGAAACAAAATTATAAAGATGAAGAAAATCAAGAAGTATAGAAAAATTTGGTAGAAAGAACACTGGAAGTCAGAAGACTTTTAACTTTTAAAAGTTAACTTTGTGATCCTGGCAAGTTTCTTTGCTTTTACTCATTTTTAAAAATAAAAGGTCATTTCAGATCATCTTTAATGTCATTTCCAATTGAATAGTCTACGATTCTGTAATTCTAGAATCTAAAAAATGGTTGTTTAATGAAGTTGCACTAGGCAAAGTTTAGGAAGTTTGTTATGAATATTAATTCATTAAAAAACCAAACTTCTTTCCATCAAACTTTCATGGAAAATGCTATATAAGTGAAATGGGAACTTGCAGTTTTGATGTTCTTCTGTCCAGAAGAATATGGCTATATTACATAAAAAAGTCACTAAGTATCATCTTAATATAATGAGAAAAAGATGAACGTATATGATAGAAAATAAACATTGCTACCAATAATCTAATTCCTTACCCTAGGCAATTAGGTTTTTACCTTTACATCAACTCCAGGAATGTAAAATACTGTTGTTTCTAAGTCACTAGGCTTTGTCTGCAGAGATGATGGCACTTTCTTTCCGGTCATTAAATGGGTGGTAGAAGCATAATTAGTTTGAAACTTCTTCTTTTTTGAAGGTGAATCTTGATCTAAGCTCCTAGAACTTCGATCATAACTCCTGTGAACAGAAAAATGTTCTTATCTTTTTAAAAAAGTACACTTTTTTTTTTGTTTGTTTAAAAGCAAACTTTTATCATTACACTAAATGGAATGTAATCCTTCATTTAGGAAGTTGAAAAAAGTAAAGGTCATCAGTATCTCTAGCTAGACTGGTTAATGCCTTGCATGAGTGATGTAAATGTTGTATGTTCCTTAACTATACAGGGCAGTCACCTTTATTCTTTCCTAGGGCCATGACTTTGACTTGAACATATTAGGTTGAACCAAATGAAACTGCCCTTTATAATAAGGTAAAAATACAGCTAAATATTAGCAATTTATTATGGATTATTATGGTTCAATCAAAAATAACCTAATAGTAATTCTTTTTATCATCACTACATTTATAGGAGATTTTACCTGTTTATAGTACCTTTTTGTTTTCTCTTATTTTATAAAAGCCTCAGACAATTGAAAAAATATTTTATTATGAAAATTTTTTAACATATAAAAAAGTAATAAGAATAGTTTCATTAATGATCCTCCATGTTCCCATTACCAGGTTTCAGTTAGCATCAGCATTCTTTTTAGATCTACATCTCCACCCATCCACTCAATTATAACGATTTTTTTTAAAAGTTCATATAGATTAGAAAAGAAAAAACAAAATTTAAAGAAAAAAATATGTTAATCCTGTTTATATCATCATTTAGTGATGTAAACAAATAGTAAAGCTGCAGTTATATCCTGAACACAATTTCAGTCTACTGAAGTCTGTGTAACTATCTGCCAGTCTTTCTTATTTCTTTATGAACTCACCAAAACTCTCAGTAACCAAGATATTTCTGAGCATTTTGTTGTTCTTTAAAACTGAAATATGCACAGTGCAGGCAGAGACACTGAGAAATTCATGTGTGTTAAAAGAGTTCCAAAGATATAACTATTTTAATTAAAAAATATGCCAGACTGTCAATCAGACATCGATTTCTAGTTGCCAGAAAATACTATACAGTTGTTTATAAGAAACTATATAAGAAATAACCACTTGACCATTATAACTATAATTATATTTACACTTCAAATCTGCATTTTGGAATGGAGAAGTTTGTTATAATTCAGTGAAATATGAATAGTATTTCTAATAAAGTTACATGTATCCTTTTTCAATCAATTTCTTACCTTCTCAAACTTATATCATCATGTTCTTGTAGAAGGGTGGTTGGGTGGAGTACACATTTTCCACTATCAATTTCAACCCGTATATCAAGTTCAAAGTCAATATTTCTCTCTGTAGCTGTGCCACTAAGACTTCTATTGACTGGTGTTGTTGGCCAGCGTTCTGTAAATAGCTGATGAACAGCAGCAAAGCCTGTTGCTTTTTTACGAGATGTATGTCTACAGAAAGAACAATTGATCATTACGTTCTTTGTAACAAACTGCTTTCCAACCTGTTAAGTGAGCAATAGTCTGTAAATAAATTTTACTATTTTATAAATTCACATGAGGGAGTTTAATGGAGCCACATTCTATTCAGCTACTATGTACTGAATAACTATTATATGCCATGCTAGGTGTTAGGTGATGAGGACATAGACATAATCACCACTTTTAAGGAATCTGATTATCAGTATATAAACTATATCATGTATGTTGAAAAAGATTTCATTTTCTCAAATTACAACATTTAAATGCTACTTTCCAGATTTAAGAAAGACAGAACAAGAAGGTAAGAAAGATAATGTCATACGCTCTTTAATAAAATGGTGCTGGAAAAATTGTATATCCACATGCAAAAAAATTGTATATCCACATGCAAAGAATTATGTTATACCATATAAAAAATCAACTCAAAATGGATTAAAGACTTAATATAAGACCTGAAGCTGTTAAGCTCTTAGAACAAAACGTAGGGGAGGGAAAACGCTTCATAACATTGGTCTTGGCAATGATTTCCTAACACCAAAAGCACAGACAACAAAAGTAAATATAAACAAGTAGGGCAACATTAAACTAAAAGAGCTTCTGCAGAGCAAAGGAAACAATCAATAGGGTGAAAAGGCAACTCATGGAATAGGAGAAAATATTTGTAACCATATATCTGACAAGGGGGTAATTTCCAAATATATAACAAACTTAGAAAAAAAACCCTAATAACCTGATTTTTAAAATTGGCTAAGAACTTAAATAGACATTTTTCCAAAGAATCAGCCAATGGGTATATGAAAAGATGCTCAATATTACTAGTCATCAAGGAAATGCAAATCAAAACCATAATAAAATATGACTTCCAACCTGGTAAGATGACTGTTATTTAAATAAAAACAAAAAACAAATGTTGGCAAGGACAGAAAGAAAACAGAATCCTTGCACATTTTGATAGGAATGCAAAACACTGTAGCTGCTACAGAAAATAGTATGGCGCTTTCTCAAGAGATTACAGTAGAACTACCATATGATCCAGAAATCCTACTTCTGGGTATTTATACAAACTACTTTCCAACCTGTTAAGTAAGTAATAGTCTGTAAATAAATTTTACTATTTTATAAATTCACACGAGGGAGTTTAATGGAGCCACATTCTATTCAACTACTATGTACTGAATAACTATTATATGCCAGGCTCTGTGCTAGGTGATGAGGACACAGACATAATCACCACTTTTAAGGAGTCTGATTATCAGTATATAAACTATATAACCAGTATATAAACTATGTATACTATATAGTATATATAGTATATATTATAAACTATATAAACTATATATATATTCACACATATATGGTATAGTTTATATAAACTATATAACGAGTATATAAACTATACCATGTATGTTGGAAAAGATTTCATTTTCCAACATATATGGTATAGTTTATATACTGAAGAATTGAATATACAAAAGAATTGAAATAGGGATCTCAAAGAGATATTAGCACTCCCATGTTTACTGCAGCATTTTCATAATAGCCAAGATGTAGAAACAACCTAAAATGTCCATTGACAGATAAATGAATTAACAAATGTGGTGCATACATACAATGGAATATTATCAGCCTTAAAAAAAGGAAATGCTGTACTATGTGACATTATATATGAACTTGAGAACATTATGCTACATGAAATAAGCCATGAAAGAAGGACAAATACTGCATGATTCCACTTACATGAATTATCTAAAATTCCCAACTCATAGAAGTAAAGAATAGAATGGTGGTTGCCAGGGGTTGGGGGTCAGGGAGAGGTTGGGAGTTGCTAAGCAATCATATATAGTTTCAGTTAGGCAAGATTAGTAAGTTCTAGAGATTGTGCCTACAGCTAAACGATATTGTACTGCACACATAAAAAGGTGTTAAGAGAGTAGAGCTCATGCTAAGTCATCTTACCAAAATAAAGTATGTAAAGAACTTAACAAATTGTACATCAACCAAATTGAAAATATGGTTACATTAAATTGTATCTCAATAAAAAATAAAAATATTTTTTAAAAAGGCAACATAAAACAAAAAAGTAAAGAGATATAGATCATCTGTCCAGGAAGGCAAATGTGCAACTTATAGGATTACTATTAAGACAAACTATAAAGTAATATTTCCTATAATCAAATTTATATTATGTTTTAAGAAATACCAAAATACCTAGAAAATTGTTAGAAAAGACTCAAACTTGGACTACCATGAAATTAAATACAATTAAAAGATTCTAAAAATTTCTAGGTAGAAAACAGATATAAAATACCAAAAAAATCCCAAGTCGCATTCACAGAACTAAAAAAGATAACCAGCTGAATGCTGGAAGATAACAGAGCAGTTTATCTTACCTAGGAGAAGAAATAAATATTAGACTAGAATTCTGTTCCCAACCCAATAATAAATGCAAGCACGGTAAAGCTACTTTAGAACACAAAAAAATGAAGTAGATCTGCAATAACAACTTTTCATAGAAAGTTATTTGAGAATGTACTCCAGAAAAATGAAGGAATAAAACCAAATATGCTTATGTGATTCAGGAGTCAGTGGCTTCAGTCTAGGAAAGGGAAGAAAGAATCCCTAAAGCTCAATTTATTACCATTATTAGAAATTCTTACTATTATTGTCACAGCCTCACTTGAGGGTGGTTTAAATAGATCAGTTCCAAAGATCCTTGCAGCTCCTCTTGAGGGCACATTCAGAGCAAAGTTTCACATACATCATTTATTTCATTAACACCATTTCATCTTATTTCTTTCTCCTAAGAATTTGCTGAAGTCCTTCATCCATTGCTAACCACTTCCCTTTATTATTTTTCTAACTAGCCTACACTATTACAGATCTCCTTGCTGCAATCTTTAATGCCATGGAAATACAGCCCTCTCCTTTAATTTACTCATAACCACATCTTTATTTCCATTTTGTTTTTGATAATTAGGTGACTTGGAAAAAACCATTTAAATTTAAAAAATAATACTATATGGAGCTATATCACATAAACCATGTGATAAATTTATTAAATTTTATTTTAATGAGATTCAGTCTTACACAAGTGAGGCACATTAAAAATTTTTTTTTTGTAAAAGTTGAGTTATATATAACATTTTATGCTCATTTCTACGATACTACCTAAGGATCTTAAAATGAGGTTACTCACGAGGGTTTCCTGTAAATATAAAACCTTTCCCTCTCATGGTCTTCATCTTTTTCATCTTTCTCAGAATCTTCACTGGTAGAAGACAAACTGTCATCCCGTCGGCCCTCTTCACTTTGGAAAGGAATGCTTGGTGAAAAACCTCCTGGAGTTTTGGGAGAACTGAACACGGAACATGATCCTTCACTATTTGATGAGTAATGGGATGGACCTTCAATAGTTACTGACAAAAGGTCAAGTTCTGTTTCCTCTGGAAACTGATTGTAAAAAAGAAAAAACATGAATCAGATTCATATTTCAATTAAAGAAAAAATATATAAATTTAAACATTTAAAAATTATCTCAGAGTTGAATTTCCTCACTCTGAACTGAAAGAAAGGTCAGATTCATGAACATATAAAATGGTACACCAAGGAAGGAAGCAAAAGGGCCAACCTCAGAAAGTTATACTACTGACACACCAAAGATCAGAATGAAATTTTACTTTATATAAACATATAGTAGTGTATTAATAAGTAAACACTGTAATTCTTTAAAGCAGAAGTTAAACGTGGAAGCAAATGAAATATGATTAACTGTAAATCAGAATGGCAAGAGCAATTAGTGATGGAAGAGCATGCAGTGTCAGTACAAAGTTTATTGTTTTCTCATCGTGCTACTAGATGCTTTTTGTGGATGTATCTTTTAAAAATGAGCCCCACATCAGTTAAAGAAAAATGTGCAAATAGCTGCGTAATAAAACATGTATCAATCAAACTGAAGAATGCTGTATTTTGAGGTAAATACAGTTGGCTCTCTGTAAACCCCAACAGATTCAATCAAGTGCAGACAGAAAATATTGGGGGGAAATAAAATAATAGTACAACAATAAAAAACAACAAACATAAAAGATATAACAACTACTTACGATATCATTTAAAGTGTACTACACATTGTAAGTAATCTAGAGATGATTTAATGTATATGGGAGGATGTGCGTTGGTTATGTGCAAATACTGCACCTTTATAAAAGGGACTCGAATATTTGTGAATCTTGGTATGCATGGGGGTCCTAAAACCAATCCCCCACAGATACTGAGGGCTGACTATACTTTGTATGAACACTGTGTCACTAACTCAGGATTTCACCTTGAGGCCACTGCATTTAAATAGGTCAAACAAAACAAAAGAAAAACAAAACACCTTCCTATGACCTAATTTTGATGCCCAGCTTTACAGAGTCACGGAGTTACTTGAGCAGTAAGCTTTTATGAAGTTTAAAGTGCAAGGTAATTTATTATTAAAAACTACTAGGTGCTGCTATTCAATACACAGTTAAGTCCTACATTGAAAATTTGAAATCCAGGTGTTCATTTTATATAGTATACGTGTTACTGAGTTAACAAGTAAATCAGATTGTTAGAACATCCACTTTTTAAAACTTTGGTAAGAGACAACAGATAAAATATTTCTTTGTTTCATTTTATATTTAATCATGCCTTACCTATTTTCTAATTTATGATTAGAAAATATAATGTTTAATCTTGTATCTATTATATAATTTATGATTTTTATATACTTTTTTTTACAGTACATGGCTAATTAAAAATGAGACTTGAATTGAATCACTTCAAATATTAATCCCTTTGAGAATTACCTAGCTAGTAGAACCCATTTCATTCATGTAAATTATTTCTTTCCAAGTTTTCTTCATAAAAAAAGAATGTTTGTCAAGCTCACTATATTACAATTAAATAGTTCTTAAAAAAATCCAGTTTGACTAAATTCACTATAACTATGAGATACATGCTGAGACTGAAGCTTGAAGAGAGTGACAAAAGGGAAAAGAAATATTTGGGTGAGTGCTTATTTTTAAATGTACCTTAACAAAACGATCTAGATATCATTCTTCTACATTGTTTTGAACAAAATAATAATTTAAAAAATGGATAGTTTTATCAATATTATTTTACACCAGTGACTCAAAAGAAAGAATGTTCAACCATTGTTTGTTCTGAATTAAATTTAATTCTAGTTTGAACTAGTTAACTGATCTTTGTTTATGAAAAAATTCATTTTGTTGAATATAAGGAAAAACTACTTCACTTAGAGATTAGGAAATAACAAATTGTAGTTTTTTATTTATGGTTTGGTTGAATTGATTTGATTAGGTGAGATAGTCTTTTAGTTTTTAATATTAAACTACACAGAAGTAAAAACTAAGATAAATGCACGTAAGAAGTTACGAGATGTACATGATGAAAAAAATTCAAACAGTCTTAAACACATTATCTAAAATATTTCTAAGGTCTAAGTTTAGTCTGAAATGAAAGGAAGATATTTTGAAAGCAGGCAGATATTCAGTGTGGTTGATTAGTTTTAAAGCAAAATTTATGTTTTTAGTAAATACCTGAAAATACCCTTCCCCAGGACCGCTGGATTGTGGTGTACTTCCCCATACTGTATTTTTCAACTTAATTAAAACAATAAGAAAAGTAAAAGAAAAAACAAAAACTCATGAAAAATAATAAACAATGACTTAAAAGTAAATATACAAAAAACAAAAGAAACATTTTAATATAATGTTTACTATGGTATGAAATTAGAATACAACTTTGAAGCTGATCTTCTTCCTTCTAATTTTTGCTACTATCTATCTATACATAAAATACATAAATGAGTACCAATATTCTACATTTACATTTGTGAAAGATGTAGTTTAATATGGATTCTCACTTGAAAGAAAAATTATTCAACAAAAACCTTTCTACTGAAGAGAAAGCAGTTTCGGAGCCTTTACTGTGCATGTAAAATGTAAAACATGAACACCTGCTGCATGGCTCTCAGATGATGTTATGAGGGCAGTGCCCACTACTTGGTAATATACAGACAGTTCAATCATCATAAACCATGCTTTGATTGTAGTCAGAAATCAGTATTTTGAAATAGTATACCATAATTTTGTAATCTGTAAAAACTATTTAGCATTGTGTATCTCTAACAAATTATATATCTCTTACTGTATCCTGGATATTAAAAGTTACTCTAGGTCCAGGAGATGCTGCATCCACACGGATTTCTGGGAGCTCTTCAGTTTCTCCTACTCGAGAACTGCAAGTAAAATGTAAAGTTATAAAACAGTAATATTCTCATGATAAAAGTATTCCTGGACTTTATAAAAGTCTGATTAATGGCAATACCATTCTGTTTCTAAATATTTACCTTATCAAAGGATTGAACTTTCTCTTAACCTTTAGCATACCATAAAAAAGACTCAATGTTTTGGTTAACTCAAGATTTTTCTAAAACTAAATCATATAAAAGATTTATACTTCTTATAGTGCTTATATACTATTAAAACTGTATTTCACTTCAATAAATGTGAAATTTCCATTTTTTTCATATGCTAAATATCTGTGTGACTATATCTTTTCTAAACTGACAAATTTAGAGCAGTAGCTACTAGTAAGCATGTTTTAATTCCTTTGGATAATCTAAGTTTATGCATAAAACTTGTCTATCTTTCTAAACCACAGTTTTATGTAAATAAAAGCTTGTCTAAATAGCAGTGTGCTTCATTACTAAAAAGAACACACTGTACTGTGGTTATATGATGAGGGATTCCTTAAATAAACTTCTGAGTTTGATAATATCCACTATTATTGCTATTTTACTAATAAAATTAATTTCTGTTATCTTAGTTTTATGATTAGAACATAAAAAAAGTAGTTGACCTTGGTAAAAGAGTCAACAATTTTATTAATTGTTTCATTGGCTGAAATACATATATTACCTTGTCCTTTCCATTCGCTTTAGAGGTGGTCTTGCAGAAGCAGAAATGCTTTTTGATCGGCTGTAACTTGGTTTGTAACTCAAACCCCACTTATCCTTTAGGGAAGCAGCCTAATGAAATGGGAGAGAAAAAAATGTGACTACAGGTGATTATTTATTGTTGTAATATTTGACTTCAAGTAAAAGAAAATATTATACTATTAAATAAGTTAGCTTGTTTTCCCCAAGGGACTTTCTTGTCACTTAACAATATAAATTCAAAATATAGGAGGAATCAGCTATTCTTTGGTTGTAACACCAACTAGGAGGCACAATGAAAACATGAGCCACCACCTGACCTGAGAGAAAAGAAAAGAGAAAGTTTGGGGGCAGGGATGAGGGTACAGAAACAAGGCGAGAAGAAAGGAAATGATTTAAAAAGTAAGAATGGAGAAAGAAAATGAGAATGAAGGGTTTTGGGAGAAGCTACGTTCCTGGCAGGGGGACAAAAGACCACTTTTCTCCAAGGGCATCCCTGCTGTAGGACTCTTCATTACAACAAAGGAAAGTAAGAGTGTTAAAGATTTAACACTCTCACTGTCTCTAAATCCCTGTTCTAGAAACTAGTCATGGTACTAGATATTTAAAAGATTCTAATACAGTGGAGGTTTGGAGTCTAAGAGAGGTAAAGGGAATTGAGGGGAATATGTGGAATGACATATGTTAAGAATGGAGATGTTTTAACAACCTTTCTAATTCTATCTAGTTTATTTTTAATGTCAATCACCAAATATGACATGCAACAGTGGACAAACAATATTTTAATTATATTGTATGACCCTTGTGTAGACAGCAAAAATTTAAAATAGAAAATTATGTTACAGATATCACTATCCATTATTGCTATCAGAAACTAGTGACAAATAAATTGGAGAGCAGTATTCAAACTATATTCTCCAGGAGTTTAGAAGTGATCAGAGCATGTGGTCCCTGGTACTTGGGAGGCTGAGGCAGGAGGATTGCTTGGAGCCTAGGAATTTGAGGTTTCAGTGAGTTATGAATGTACCACTGCACTACAGCCTAGGCAACAGAGTGAAACCCTATCTCTTAAAAACAAAACAAATGAATGTCAAACTATGTGAGGCCAAAATTAAGAGAAATGCAAGGAGAAACAGATGAATTACCGTTTGAGACTTCAATAACCCTTTATCAGAAATAGACATCCAATACACAAAAAAAAATCAGTAAGGACACAGTTGAACTCAATAACACCATCAGTCAATTGGATACAACCAACACCTACAGACAGTTTCATCTAACAACATCAGAATACACATTCTTCTCGAGCTCACGTGGAACTTTCATGAAGAAAGCTTTCTGGACCAAAAAGCATACCTTAACACATTTAAAAAAATTGTAAGTCATAAAATGTGTGCTCTTAGGCCATAGTGGAATTTAACCAGAAATCAACAACAGAAAGATATCTGAAAAATCCCAAATGCACTGAGATTAAATAACACCCTTGTAAATAGCATGAGTTGAAGAAAAAAATCTGAAGAGCAATTTTAAAATATTTACATTAAACAAAAATGAAAACACACTTATCAAAATTAGTGGGATGAAGCAAAACCAGTGCTTAGAGGAAAATCTATAGCACTGAATGCATACATCAGAAAAGATCTAAAATCAATTAAGCTTCTACCTTAGAAAACTAGAAAAAAGGATAAATTAAATCTGAATTAAGCAAAAGAAAAGTAATAAAAATCAGAGCAGAAACAAAAAAAAACCCAAGAAATCAATAGAGAAAAATCAACAAAACTAAAAGCTGGCTGTTTGAAAAGATCAATAAAATTGGTAAGCCTCTAGCCAGGATAACTAAGAAAAAAAGAAAGACATAAATTACTAATATTAGCAATAAAGGAGGGTATATAACCATAGACCCTATGGCTATTTCAAGAATACAGGAATACATTGAACAAATCTATGCCCTCAGATTTGATCACCTAGATGATCAAATGGAGAAAGGAAAGAGATAATCTGAATAGGCCTACATTTATTAAAGAACTGCATTAATAACTTTACAAAACAAAAACACCAGGCCCACGTGGGTATACTCATGAATCAATAACTCTTAAAAAGTTATTAATTTAAAAATTGAAGCAAAAAAAACAGCATAATGGTTTTTTAAAAAAAGTTTTCTACCCCTAGACTCAAACTCTAATGGGACCAACTAAACCTGCAAAAAATAAAGATTATAAAATACTAACAATGCACAGTAGCTGAGAAGTAATTCTGACCAGGGAGAAGGGGATAGGGAAAGAACAGACGTCTTAAAAGATTTCACAAAGTTCACATTTTTTGCAGAGTTCAGAATAGAGACTAAAAGCAAAAATGATTTCATGAAAGACAAAACACAATGTCCAAGGGCATAGACTTATAGAGTCCTAAAGCCTACGTTGGACTCTTGTCTCCCCCAGCATTACTGGCTATATAACTTTGGTCAAATTACTTCACCTGTTTCAATTTCCTCATGTTTAAAATAGGAAAATAACATAAGCTACCTCCTAACATTGTGTGAGGATTTAATGGGTTACTAAATGTGAAGTGCTTTAGATGGTGCCTGGTACACAGGAGATATGATACAAAAAAATCAGGTGGTTTTGTCACCAGCATTGAAAGAACAAAGAGCACTCACTCGCATACTGGACCTCCGTAATTTTTTACGAACATCTCTTCTAATGTCATTCACAGCCACAGATTCTAACTGTTGGTAACGTTGAATTTCTTGGTTTATGGTTCCTTCACTTGCACCTAATTTTCTGGATGCAAAACAAATATAGCAGTTATTGTAAAGAAATAACAAAGTTACATAAGCAGAATATGTATGAAAAAAAAAAAAAGAAATAACAAAGTTACATTGATTTTTACTTGCTCCTTTTTAATGATTTCACCTTGCAGAATACCAAAGATGATTATGTATGGACCAGCCAAAACCCTCAATAAGTTTAATAGTCATATTTGGCGAAACTTAAGGAAACAAAAACACCTCTCTCTAATGTTTGAGGAAATTTGTGTTATCCATTGCTGCATCAAGAGTCTCTTTGGCAATCTCATGAAAACCATAGGCCCACTCTGCAGAAAAATGTCTGAATGTAAAATTCTACATATAATATAAGCCTTGGGTAACATTTTGGAGGAAGAGTATATTTTCCTTCAAGTCATTTTTTTCCCCTGAGAACAAAACTCAAATTTTAATCTAACTCAACAGGAAAATATGAATCACTGCATGATAACTTACAGACAAGTTTTAGGCAATTCATTTTGCTGTACAAAATGCATATATTTATGTAAGGTTCTTGATTGTTAAAAAAAAAAAAAAAAAAAACATCAGTACAAGTGTAGGCAGATTAGAAAAGATGAGGCATGACCATTTACCTTTTGGGAAAATAAAATTGCAAACTTTAACAAGAAGAATATTTACTGTAATAGAGAAAATATTATTTAGCAATATCCAGCAGGCAACAGATAAAGATTAGTGTATTTATTTATATATGCATGTGAAGATACATATAAGAGTAAATACACAGGTAAAGATACATATATGTGATATAAAGTCAGCCATAAAGTGCTAAGAAATAAGTTATGAAAAAGCACTAGGATTTCATGTCTAACTTTTTTTTTTTTTTTTTTTTTTTTTGAGACAGAATCTCATTTTGTTGCCCAGGGTAGAGTGCAGTGCCATAATCTTGGTTCACTGCAACCTCTTCCTACCCCCAGGCTCAAGCGATTCTCCCGCCTCAGCCTCCCAAGTAGCTGGGATCACAGGCACACACCACCACACCCAGCTAATTTTTGTATTTTTAGTAGAGGCAGGTTTCACCATGTTGCCCAGGTTGGTCCTGAACTCCTGACCTCAAGTGATCCACCTGCCTCAGCCTCCCAAAGTTCTCGGATTACACATGTGAGCCACAGCACCCAGCCTCATGCCTAACTTTATGACTAATGAGTGTATTATCTTGGCCAAATTATTAAACAACTCTGGACCCTGGTGATATAACAGATAAACTAAAGAGTTTGTATTAGCCCAAATACATTTTCTTCCACTTCTGTCATCTTATGATTCTAAAATTAGGGAACATTATATAAAATTAAAAATCAGTATACATACTTCAGATCATCTATTACTTTGGCCTGTTCATTCAGTTCTCTGATATCCACTATACGCTTCATAATTTTTCTTCCTCTAAGTTCTCCTGGCTGGCTAGCAGATGCTGCCTGTCTTCGATAATCTATGGCTTCCTGAAAAGTCAAAAGTGTATCTGTCAATACCACCCTCAAATCACACAGCAAATCTATACTATCACAAAATTAATACCTTAAATCAAAGTAAGCATGCAAGAATCAAAGCCATCTATATCAAGATTGGGATTCTCCACTGATTTAAATCCCTTCATTTTCATAAGGAATCTATTTAGTTGCTACCTACATTTCCCCATGAGTGCGCTCTGCATGCTTTCAAATGGGACTGGCTAGACTGAGGGGAGCCCCACATCTCTGGGTCACACAGATACTCTGCAGGAACAGAATAGCGCTGATTTGGGGGTGTCAGGCCTAGTAGGTGATTTACAAGTCGCTGCCCAAAGGTGAGTTTGTGGCCATCTCCACTTACTGAACTTCCACCTGAACTCTAAATAATAAACAGTAATATTAATTAAAAAAAAATTTCTTCCCAAGAACAAAATATTTCATGGTACAATAGTTAAAAGATATTTAAAATAATTTAAAAAAATTAATACTAGAATGAATCAAAGAATAAGTTTCTTTTTGACCACGAAATAACTTGAAAATATAGAATGTATAGATAGTATAGATGGAAATATATATTTTTAGAATGTATAACTTCATTTTGTAAATGCACTTTGCTTTGAAATTCATTTTGAACATCTTTACTAAGACATAACTCACCTACCATAAAATTCACCCATTTAGTATATTCACAAAGTTGTACAACCATCATTAAAATAGCTGGGAATATTTTCATTACTCAGAAACCTCATACCTATTAGCAATTTCTTCTCATTCCTCCCATCTCTACCACACCTCTCCCTACTCTCCCAGTGGTAGGCAGCCACTAATCTACTTTCTATCTATATAATTAGTCTGTGCTTCACTTTTAATATGATTATGTTACCTGTAGGTTAAAGCACAAGTTGGATGATGGTCAATATGTAGCACAGAACTCGATTAAAAGACAGTTAATCGAGTTAATTATGAAATGTAGACACAGCAAACCACCACTCCCTTCTCTTCCTCCACAAATTCCCACTATAATATACTAAATAACACTGAATAAATATCCCCATCTCAGGGTAAAAGCTAGTCCTGAAAAATTCTAACAGTGACTTTACTTACAGTATGGATAGTGGGAGACATAGTATCAACTTCATCCTCATCTGACAGATCAGCTATGTTCACTGAATTTAAGTCAGCAATGTCATCTATGTCCTCCTCTCCTGTCAGTGTTGTAAGAGTATTGCCCAGAGCATTAAGCCTTTTACCAATGTTAGGATCCATGTGGACATCAATCCCACACATTTTCCACAATACATTGAGTGTCCAGGTTCCAGCGCTACTACTTTCTGTTTAAATAAAGAAGTTGCATTTTTGTTAAGTCCTGAGTATAGGAATGGAAATAACTGTACAAAGTAATAAAACAGATGTTGGCCACATGCAATAACTAATGTCTTTCACAGCGAGACTTGTCAGAAACATCAGACTACAGGCTTGATTTCTCTATGTATATACAGTGCGCATCTAATGCTTCCTCTGTATAGCACCCTCTTTTTTTTTTTTTCCCTATGAACTAGAGGTTCCCTCCCTGACCCCAACATGATCCACCATCCCATAGCTATAGTAGGAATTGCCATGACCTTAGCTTATTAAACAGAATTAATTAGGTAATTGGTCCAGGGAAGGTCAAAGTTGGAAAAATAAGATATTTTGCCTGGACTCGAGGAAAGGTTAGTCCTTCTCCAATGACTGAGGGTGGAGAAACAAGACTCCACCATGTTTCTTGCCATGTATAAGAAGGAGGTTTTCAGTTAGAAGCAGCAGCAGCAGAAAAAAAGAGCAGCCAGAGGGGAGCAAAGAAGCAAAGACAAGAGCTACAAAGGGTCTTGGTGACAGTTGGGATCTTCATTCTAATAGTTCTGAAGGCTCCTGAATTGACCTGGTTCCTTCTCTTCCCTAAAATAGCCATTCCTAAGTTTAACTGTAGTCTGCAAATATCCTTTTAATAAACATCCCCTTTTGGTTAAGCTAGTCTGAGTAGGTTGTTGTCACTTAAAACAGAAGTCCTGACAAAGACTTATTTGTGACCCCAGCTGAATATTCCCTAACTAACTTTTTCAGTTCTCTGTCAGACTCTAGACCTTGGTGCTTTCTAAGGTAACTCAGGATGAGCAATAAGACTAGGCTTGGGAAGCATAACAGAGAACGGCAAGGAGAGTCTGGAAATCTACTAATCTTAATCAATTTCTACACCTCTCAACATTTTAAGAAACCTCAAATAAATATCTCTTTAGCTCACCCTGTCCAATCTTATAACAAGCAAAATAATAAAAATTACATTGTGCTACCATCTTAATCAAGACACATTATCACTTTTTACCTCCTAACTGGTTTCCTGGGCGTTTTTGCCCTCTAATCTTTGAAAGTGTTCCTTTGATAGTGTTGTCATTTGCCTTCTTGTTCAAAAACATTCAGTGGCCAGCCTTCCCACTGCCCAACAAATCAAGTCTAAACTCCTCAATTAGGCATTTAACATTTTTCTGTCTTATTTTTTTTATATAACTCTATTCTAGCCAAATTGGAGAACTCTGAATAGATACTGTGCTTTAACATCATGATGCATGTTATATTATTCTCTCTGCCTTAATTTTCTCTGGCCCACATCTCCCAGTTTTTGCTTAAGAAAGATTTTTTCCCATCCGTATGAGTGCTTGTTTAAATATTTATCCCTCCATGAAGTTTTCTCTGATCCCAGTATTCTCCCATATTTGAAAATATTTATTTATTTATTTGTTTGTTTATTTATTTATTTATTTATTTATTTATTTTTGAGACGGAGTTTCGCTCCTGTTACCCAGGCTGGAGTGCAATGGCGTGATCTCTGCTCTCCGCAACCTCCGCCTCCTGGGTTCAGGCAATTCTCCTGCCTCAACCTCCTGAGTAGCTGGGATTACAGGCACGCGCCACCATGCCCAGCTAATNCCTCCGCCTCCTGGGTTCAGGCAATTCTCCTGCCTCAACCTCCTGAGTAGCTGGGATTACAGGCACGCGCCACCATGCCCAGCTAATGTTTTTTGCATTTTTAGTAGAGACGGGGTTTCACCATGTTGACCAGGATGGCCTCGATCTCTTGACCTAGTGATCCACCCGCCTCGGCCTCCCAAAGTGCTGGGATTACAGGCTTGAGCCACCGTGCCCGGCCTCATATTTGAAAATATTATCTTCCTTCTAGACATTTCAATAGCATTAACAACTGGAATTTTATGTTTTATTATACCTATCACTTACTTCAATGTAATTTTGCTGCATGTGCCTTAACTACATTTTAAGAATTTAAATGTACGGAGGATAGAAAGCATATTTTATTCATTTTAATCTTTTCTGAAACATCTTGTGTGTGTAATGCACACACACATGTGTATATACACACACACACACACACACACACACACAGAGGTATCTGATTAATAATTGTTAAATAAATATAAATATGCCAATACAAAGTTTTTTAATTAGTGAACACCAGAAGTAGTTTAGCCAAAAGATTCTCTTGCCATTAAAATAAAGGCAGAATTCTATATACCACGGATAGCAAAATAATGCTGAGTGTGAACCTACCAGCTGCTGCTTGTCCTGTAGTTCTTGAACATACTTCATAGGTGCCATCTGGAACTACACCTGTACAAAAATCAGCCCAAAAATAGTTTTCAATAAAAATACATCTGTGATTATATATTCTACTCTTAATTTTTCAAACAAAGATTATTATCTAAATACAAAGAGGATTACTATCCTCTCTAGATTTTAGTTCTTAATCTTTGGAATGAAAGGGCTATCTTAATGACTCATAAGATCTATTCCATATTCACAATATTTTATTCTATGATTTAAACAATTTAACTGCAGTTTTATTTTTATTTTCTGCATGTGATTTCCTTATTTGGGTGACAACATCTGGCCAACTGCTGTGACACTCTAGATGGCTTTTCCACCAATATCCAGGATGCTATGACACTTTGTCATCATAAGTGAATGGCACTTTGAGAATGCAAATGACTTAAAATAGAATTTTTGGTAACTAAGAGCTGCCACATTAGGTTAGACACATGATTCAGCAGTCTTACCTTCTCTTTTGACATGGAACATTTTATGACCAAAAAATGGCCTAAGGCCATGATGTCAATCTCAAGATCATGGACCTATCTCCAGAATATATCTACTTTAACTCTGAAACATTTACTACCATCTAGCTTTAATTTGATAACTTCAGCTTCAAAAAAGATGTTAATTCGACAATTTTAAACAGTAAAAGTTAAAACAACTTTTAAACAAAATAAACTCTAAATATAGAATTAATAAGACCTTCCTCAGTAATCCTTAGAAGAAACGAAGTATCAATCTAAACTTGAGAGTACATATATCTTTAATGTCCTTTTGCAACTCCCTCCGAATCCTAAATTGGTATTCAAATGTTACTTAAATTTGAGCTTGCTATCCATTTTCTAGGTACTCTGGTGTCACATTTCTGTCTTTGAAACATTTCAAAAGGGAAAAATCCTTCTAAATTAGAAATATTATAACTTAGTTTGTGAGAGAGGATCTATCTGTTATGTGTTTTTTTTTTAAAGACTGCCAAATAACTTTAACATCTAAATTATATCTTTAAACTGTATAGTACCTGTGTCTCACATATAAATTCTAATTAAGAATGAACTAGATCTGGTTTTGAAATATCACCCAATTCACCTTTGTAGTCATGGTTTCAAATCTGAACAAGTAAGACCTACATTAGCCTTTCAAATCCAAGAATGCTAGAAGGAAAAGAAACCCCTTTGAAATTTGAATAACATAACTGAGGCCAAGTGAAAGGAAGAAATAGTAAATAAAAAGGGAGTAGAAAGCTTTCAGGATTTCCTATCCTAAGAAGTAGCAGAGAATTTTTAAAAACTAAGCCTAAGGGCTAGGTGTGGTGGTTCACACTTATAATCCCAGTGCTTTGGGAGGTCAAGGATGCAAGATCATTTGAGGTAAGGAGTTCAAGACCAGCCTGGGCAACACAGTGAGACTCCATCTATACAGAAAATTTAAAAATTAGCTGGGTATGGTGGCATGTGCCTGTGGTCCCAGCTACTCGGGGGGCTGAGGCGGAAAGATTGCTTGAACTCATGAGTTCAAGGCTTCAGTGAGCTATGATGGCACCACTGCATTCTAGCCTAGGTAACAGAGCAAGATTTTGTCTCTAAAAAAACAACAAAAAAATTAAGCTTGAAAAATGAATATATAAAACTCACAGAAGGGCCGGGCGCAGTGGCTCACGCCTGTAATCCCAGCACTTTGGGAGGCCGAGGCGGGTGGATCATAAGGTCAAGAGATCGAGACCATCCTGGTCAACATGGTGAAACCCCGTCTCTACTAAAACTACAAAAAATTAGCTGGGCATGGTGGCGCGTGCCTGTAATCCCAGCTACTCAGGAGGCTGAGGCAGGAGAATTGCCTGAACCCAGGAGGCGGAAGTTGCGGTGAGCCGAGATCGCGCCATTGCACTCCAGCCTGGGTAACAAGAGCGAAACTCCGTCTCAAAAAAAAAAAAATAAAATAAAACTCACAGAATATAGAGCCATGATGAATTAATAAGGAATATTAAGATTTTTAGAAGTAGATCTGGATCCTGAAAATGAGGACTAAGAAATCAACTAGTTTCCCATAACATCTGTGGTTTCTGTATCACAGACAGAATGATGACTTGGACCAACCATTAGTCTGAATCCAGGATGGTAACTCTTGCAGCTCTGATCACCAAATGCTACCCACGTTTTAACAAAGAGCTTGCCGACCTCTAAACTTCTGATGGTTTAGTTTGTCTAAAAACACATTGGTGAAATTAGCCTAATATTTAGCATCTACTTAAATCATTCTTTGAACTTTTCCTGTAGATTGTGCTTGCTAATTTTTAATGCATTTCTCAATAAACATTATTGAGAGGAAATTTTACTGGGACACCTTTTTTCTAGAGTATATTTTAAAAATGATCTGTTAAAAAAATTCTAAGGCATAACCCTACCATTCTTTATTTCTCTGCCATATATACATCACCCTTGTTCAAAAATATTGAGGTATACTTACTAGTAATAAAAACTACATTGGGAGGCCAAGGTGAGTGGATCATGAGGTCAGGAGTTTAAGACCAGCTTGACCAAAATGGTGAAACCCTGTTTTTACTAAAAATAAAAAAATTAGCTGGGCATGGGGGTGGGCTCCTATAATCACAGCTACTCGGGAGGCTGAGGCAGAGAATTGCTTGAACCTGAGAGGTGGAGGTTGCAGTGAACTGAGACTGTGTCACTGCACTCTAGCCCGGGTGACAGGGCGAGACTCCATCTCAAAAACAAAAAACAAACTATAAACTAGTGAACTTTGTCCATTTTATCATTTGGAAATTTTATACATATGTCAATTACATAACTACTCTGCTCACCTCCTTTTGGCTTCCAAGAAACCCAGATAATAAGCATGTTACAGAAGTATTTCACTAAGTCCCCTCCAAAACCCAAAATAAATTATTCTGATTATCATGATTACCAGCATGTTAGTGTTCTGTATTACCAGAATATATACTGAGATGCTGAATTATTTGTTCATTTTTAAATGTGTATTTCCGATTTTGAGTAAGAGTATATTTCTCATTTTATATTTCTTATGCATTTACCCTTTAAGACAAACTGTTGGGGAAATGGTTTACTTCCTTTTTTTCCAAATATATTCTACTTATTTTAATAAATACAATGATGGTAAAGCTGTCACCTTAATAAAAGTCACTAACTTTAAATTTATTTGTCTTTTATTTAAAAAAAAAAAACAAAATATATGTTTTAGTGATTTAAAAAAATATATGTAACTATTGTGTAAAATAATAAATCTATAAAGGCTAATATTGGTCTTTTGGATAATAGGCATGAAGTATTTCCATATTAAGTCTTCTCAGTAACCAGAATTATTTCAAAGAAATCCTGGTATTTTACCTATAATTACCTAATGCAAAGCATTTGCTGGAGTTCAGGACACACTGTCCCAAAAATGGCACCTTGCCATATGGAAGGTATTTTAAATTGAAGGAATTTGAGAAGCAGCAGATGCAGGAAGGACTTTGACTTTCCTCTGAAGCAGGTCATATGACCATGTGAGAGAAGCCCTTCCTCAACCCAGAGGAAAGGAGCATCCTCATCTCCAAAATGGAGGGACACTAAGAGCAATCTGAACAAACAGGCCTTGGTTAGTTTTCCCCAGTTTACTACCCTGAACTCATACCCCTTTTTGTTTTCTCCTGTTGCTCTACAGCTTCTACTCTTCATCAAACCTAGTACAAAAATAGCAAGGTTTAACCATTTCTTTGGATCTTCATTTCCTAATGATGGCTCCATGTCACAAAAAAAAACCCTCATATTAAATAAACCTGTATGCTTTTCTCTTATTAAGCGGTCTTCTATTACATAAGACCCAGCATATAACCTAAAAGGGTAGTAGAAAAAGATATTTTTACTTCCCTACACATTAAAACCAAGAATTTCGCCTATAATTTTTGAATGCTAAAACTTCATTATTGGTGTAAAAATAATGGAAACTTTTCCCATTCTTCAAAGACAATGGGAACTAGAAAGATTTCCCTCTAGTGGAGAGAGGAAGAAACTACACAAACAATGGGCTCTGACTTTCTAAAAAGTTTTTAGTCTAAGATTGAGGAATTTCAGTTCACAACCTTTTAGTTTCTCATTTATAATTTTTCTTTATTAAGATTAATGATGTCTTACTAACTCTGCTATAATATTTAAAATATAAAAATATATACAAATAAACCCCTATATCTTCATATGGCTTATAAACGCAGCTTTAGTTATACCCAACGTTGAAAATTATGGAATTGAAGGAATTCACATTATGCTCTGCACTTTACAAATTTGAACATGTGGATTTACTCATGTCAATATTAAGGCTGGAGTTCCTGGTCCTGGCTATTTACAACCTGTTCTGTTTTTATGTTGAGTTGGATATTACACATTTATCATTTTCTTTCAAGATTCTGATAGGACAAAGATGCTTTTATCTGGTCAAACATGGATCAATTACAGGAAAAATCAGGGAGTGTACAAACATTCAAATATTATACTACCAAAAAGAATGCCTGGTTGGTTTACTTACCAAAACTACTCAAAGCTGTAATTTTTAACAAATACGGTTTGTTACCTGTAACTAGAAAAAGCCCTTCTTTCTCAAAGTCTAAAAACATTGCTATATCTAAGCATCCTTTAATTTTACAGATGTTTTATTTTTTTAAGTTCTAAACCACATATACAAATAAAAAACACTCACAGGCATTCATCACTAAATCCCCACGAATTTCTGGTTTCCAGTCATCCCATGATGTCTCAAATCCATCGGCAAAACGGATACAAAAGTTTTTGAAATGCCCTTTGCTAACCAGAGATTCTGAAGAGCAAGCAGTGATGAGGGTACTTTCAATGGTTAATACCAAAGCAGATCCAGTGTCAAGGTCTCCAGTATGATTAGACTGCAGAATACATTAAAGAAGAAATAAGACAAAAGGTGACAATTTTTAAAACTCAGAAATCTTCACAGGATTCACAGGAACAGAAATCTAGAAAGGGTCAAGCCTAGATATGCTCATTAAAGAGCACCTTGGAAAGATACCTTTTAAAAATTAAATTGCTCCAGTGAAATGTACTTGCCATTTGCAGTTTTTATTTACTTAATGTACAAAGGGCTATCTACATTTCTATCTCAAGCTTCTCTTTTAGTTGTGGGGAGATGCTCTCACTATGTTACCCACCTGTGGTGTTTATGGCCTTCTTAGGCCCTGCTTATTATGCTACTAAAAAACTACTACATTTCAGTTCCTGAAACATAAGCAGACCAATGCTGCCCATCCTCAACCCAAAGTTTTCTTCTATGCTGTCTTATCAAACAGAATCCTAAAAGATAAATTAATCAACAACTGGTTACAAGTTATTAAGGTAAATTATAACAGTAAAATCTCTGTATTCTACTGTTAATAACTGTTGCTTCTTGGCTTGACAGGTGTTCATAGCCTTTTCTCTCTCTCATACACACATGTGCATGCAGTTACATATTCCTGAGAACTGGTCCTAAATTGCAAGGAGAAAATTCCTGCTTAATGTACACAGTGCTTTCAAGTTTCATTACCATTAAATATTACAGTATAAAAGCATTTTGGAATTCCCTACTCTATTACAGGTAAGTTTATTAAAGAGTATTCCTAAATGTCCTTTTATTTCTATCTTATAAACAAGTCCATACCAATGACTTCCTTGCCAAAAAAGAAAACAATAAAATGATTCTGAAACTAAGCTTCTATTTATGAAGGTAAAAACTAAGAGTTATCTGGTGGGTATCAATCTTCTCACTATTCTGAAGCATATCAGAGTGCTTCAGAGAAAAGTCCCATGAGATTCAGATTTAATAAGAGATAAATAATGGTTGAAGGAATCCAATCTTACTTCCCACCTAGTAAACAGTTATAAACTGTTATACTGAAAAACGTATTGTTATACTATAGATACTTAGAAATGGCTGTGTAGAAATGCCTGGCTCTTAATCCTGGAATACGATTTGACTTTTTTGTACCTGTGCAGTATTTGTGATAGGAAGGCAAATTCCCAGATCATTGACAGTGAGCTGGAGGAAAAGAGTCCCAAAGGCCTGGGCTGATGTTTGCTGGATACCAGGTAGCATATCTACTACTTCCTTTGTAGCCATGTGAATATCCTTATGTAAAGCCATTCGTTGTTCATTCCAGTTGTCATAGGCAGCCTTATAATTCAGCCAAAACAGCACAGCTTTTGGCAATTAAGGCACGGCAGAAAGAAAATTAAAATTAGCATTGTAAATCTCTATGTTAAGAAAAGTTCAAAAGCTGCAAAATACTGTTGCTTAATAAAAATTACACCCAGAAAACTGTGGCATTAGAATTAGGAAAGATCAAAGAGGACATATAGTCACTATTTTTATAATAACAAACAAAAAAATAGAAAGCAGGCAACTACATAATGGCAGAAAAAAGAAGAAAATCCTGGTCTGTTCATTCGCTCTAACTTATTTGTGAAATGCCTATTATATGCTAGGTACTGGGATGGAAGAACAAATGAAAACAGACATGGTACTTCACTTCATCTGTACAGCTTACTGTTACTACTTTTAAAATTCTTTAAGGAAAGGTACATAACGCTAGGAACATACCATTAAAAGGATTTGATTTACAGAGATAGGTCAAAGATGTTTGAGCTTGTTAAGCAGAAATACACCTTAAGGAAAACCTTCATTTCATGACAGTGTATAGATGGAGGAGCCTCTTAAAAGGACATAAAGATGGAGAGGCCAGAGAAGTAGGAGAAGCAGCAAATGCAGCTTGAGCATCCCTAATCTGAAATCCAAAATACTCCAAAATCCTAATTTTCTGAATGTTGATGTGCCACAAGTGAAAAATTCCACATCTGAACTCATGTGAGACTGCAGCCAAAATCCTGTCAAAACTTTGTTTCATTCATAAATTTAAAAATATTTTATAAATGAATTTCACGTTTAAACTTGGGTCCCAGCCCCCAAGATATCTCATTATGTATCCAAAAATACACCAAAATCTGAAAAAATCCAAAATCTGAAACACTTCCTGTCCCAATTATTTTGGAGAACTAATACTCAACCTGTTTTGTGTCAAGGACACTAAGAGTACAAAATACTTTAAGGATCTGATGAAAGCTGATGAGAGATCAGTAAAATGAGAACTGAAAAACATGTACATGGGATTCAGCAAAATAAAACGTTTTCTGTAACACTGTCAAAAAGGCAATTTTCTAACAGGATTCTATTACTAGCCTATGTCCATCACTGATAGAGATCTTAAATGGCTCCTCATTACTTCTAAAATACAGTTCAAACATATTTGCCCAATCTATATTAATTATACCTTGTATACCTGTTCAGCCACTTTCCCATTATTTTCTTTTATGAAACCTACCACTATATTTTCTTAGATTTATGTGTTCAAACACATTCATTCATATTCTCTCTCATTCAATGTTTATTTGGTTCTTATTGTATGCCAGGAACTGTCCTAGGTCCTGGGATATATAAGTAAATAAGAGATGCTTTCATTTCCTTATCTCCCTGGTGAACTCCTAATTCAAAGTTGAATCTGAAGAATTAGTTTCTCCTCTGAGAAGTACAGGCAAAGGTAGAGACTTCCTCAGAACAAACAGTATGTCTCTAACTCCACTGTGTAGTCTACTTTGTTTTCTTTTCCACTTGACTGAAAGGTCCTTAAGGGCAGGGATCTTGTTCATTTTTGTATTCCACTTCTAGACAGTATATGATAAATGTTTATAGAATATAGAAATAAACGGTGCCAAAACACAAATGGGTGCATTAATTATCAAAACAAAAAAAATGAGCATTACAATTAAATAATCTGAATCAGACACTCTTATGTATCCATGCAGAAGGCAAAATAACTTTACAATGTAAAATAACTTTTAAAAACTGAAGGGAATAAGCAAGAATTTTTTTTTTTTGATGCGCACATTTCAGATTTAAGACGCATTTAGCTGTCAAGCATTTACACCAGTAAACGACAAGATATTTTATCTAGCATTAACAGAACATTCCTAAATCCCAGAGAATTGTAGTGATTGACTTTATCTTACCTCTATCAAAGGCCACAGGCTGTGCATAAACAATTGGTCTATTCAAAGTAATAAGCACAGCTTCCCTATCTGAAGAACCACTGATTTCCTCTCGGAGGGCATTTCTTAATCCAATTCTCGTTTTAAAATAGGCAACTTGATGAAAATCAGAACCAGCTTCCTCATAAACCTAAAATAAAATTAAAGCTCAATAAAATAAAATAATGGAAAAAGTTTCAATATAAAAACTAAACACTACTGGCCGGGCACGGTGGCTCACGCCTATAATCCCAACACTTTGGGAGGCAGAGGCCGGTGGATTACAATGTCAAGAGATGGAGACCATCCTGGCCAGCCTGGTGAAACCCCCGTCTCTACTAAAATACAAAAAATTAGCTGGGCGTGGTGGTACGGGCCTGTAGTCCCAGTCACTCAGGAGGCTAAAGCAAGAGAACGGCTTGAACCTGGGAGGCAGAGGTTGCAGTGAGCCGAGATTGCACCACTGCACTTTAGCCTGGTGCCTGGCAAAAGAGCGAGACTCTGTCTCAAAAAAGAAAAAAAAAAACAAACAAACAAAACCCACTATTAATGGTATTGTTCACCAAAAAAAAAATAATACATTTTTCTCAATTTCAGCTGTTAATGATATATTCCTTATACTCAGTACCAAAGACATTTGAAATTAATATACAAAATAGCCATGCAAGAGGTAAATATGAAGTCACAAATAAACTTTATATAAAAGTTAGGATAAGGTTCATATTCTAAATGGCAATGTATTAAATACTTCAAAATAACTAGAACTTCTAAAAATGTTTCCATTTGAAAAAATTACTTTTTTACTAGAGATGACAAGAAATATTTGTTCCTTTTTTTCCCCTCATATCTTTAATGCAGCAATTCAGTTTTAAAACTGTGACTGGCATTCTTACCAAAGAGGAAAAAAAGATTAAAATCTACATAATAATTTTTGGTAAAATAAAAAGAAAAAATCTTCAATAAGCTATCAAAGTTCATTTTTATAAAACAGAGAATCTAACTGCTGTTTTTTAACTTTATATATTTAACATTATTATAGGCAGAACTTGCTAATATTCTACAGGAAAGGTATACACTTAACATTTAAAGAACTCATTAATGTTAGTACAAGACTCCGAAATAAAAAATGTTTAGCAAAATAAAAAAATTACAAGCAAATGATTATGAAGATACTGGATTAAATTTCTTGTGACTGCATCTGCACTAAACTATAACAATATGCTGCTACAATACTCAATGAAATGCCAAGGTAAAACTGTAAAGCCCTTCTTAAATGAGTTTTCATTTAATTTATAATGAGAAACTTTAGGAACTTAAACTAAATATTTTTGTAAATACTAACACATAAAGTAGTTAAAATTGATGTGCAAAATTTAAAAGGCATAGTTCTAACATCAACGTATTCTGTACTTACCTGATGTTTGACAATTTGTCCTAATGCCAGATTTAAATCCACTTGGCATTTGCCAAATAGTTTCAGATAGCTGCTACTTCCTGGTGAAGCTTTGGTTTGAAGTCGGTTAGAAAGTTCCAGTTCAATCAATCCAGTTTCAAATCTTACAGCTCTCATTGATGGAGTAGTGGCCGTTACTTGAATACCCTACCAGAGTATATGTTAGGAAAAAAAAAAGAATTTTAAATCAACAATGTATATCTACTCAAATGCAGTCTTTCAGTATTTGATAAATAAAATAGTTGTGTTTTAAACCATGAACAGGCATACATTGGAGATATTGTGGGTCTGGTTCCAGACCACTGCGATAAAGTGGGTCACATAAACTTTTTGATTTCCCAGGGCATATAAAAAGTTAAATTATACTGTAGTCCATTAAATGTGTAATACCATTATGTCCAAAAAAAACGTTGTATATACCTTAATTTAAAAAATACTTTATTGCTAAAAAATGACAACAATCATCTGAGCTTTTAGTGGGTTGTAATCTTTTGGCTAGCGGAGGGTCTTGCCTTGATGTTGATGGCTGCTGACTGATCACGGTAGTGGTTGTTGAAGGCTGGGGTGACTGTGGCAGTTTCTTCAAATAAAATAACAATGAAGTTTGTGTCATTGATTGACTCTTACCTTTCATGAAAGACTTCTCTGCAGCATGTGATGCTGTTTGATAGCATTTTAGCCACAGCAGAACCTCTTCCAAAGTTAGAACAATCCTTTCCATACCCTGCCACTGCTTCATCAACTAAGTTTATAGAACATTCTAAACCCTCTGTCATTTCAACAAGGTTTATCGCATCTTCACCAAGAGTAGATTCTACCTGAAGATAAAATTTCTTTGCTCATCCATAAGAAGCAACTCTTCACCCATTCAAGTTTTATCATGAGATTGCAGTGATTTGGTCCCATCTTCAGGCTCCACATTTAATTCTATTTCTCTTGCTATTTCTACCCTATCTGTATTTACTTCCTCCACTGAAGTCTTGAGTCCCTCAAAGTCAGCCATGAGAATTGGACCAATTTCTTCTAAAATCCTAGTAATGTTGATATTTTGACCTCTCATTAATCAAAATGATCTCCCTTCCAGAAGGTTTTCAATTTACTTTGCCCAGATCCATCTGAGGAATCACTTATCTATGACAGCTGTAGCCTTACAAAATGTATTTCTTAAATCATAAGACTTGAAATTGGAAATTACTCAATTCATGGGCTGCAGAAGTAATGTGTTAGGCATAAAAACATTAATTTCCTTGTAAATCTTCACCAGAGCTCTTAGGTGACCAGGTGCATTGTCAGTGAGCAGTAATATTTTAAAAGGAATCTTTTTTTCTGAGCAGTAGCCCCATAATGGGCTTAAAATATAAGGTGAACCATGATGTAAACAGATGTGCTGTCATCTAGACTTTGTCGTCCCACTGACAGAGCACAGACAGAGATCTGGCATAATTCTTAAGGGCCCTAGAATTTTCAGAATGGTAAATGGGCACTGGCTTCCACTTAAAGTCACCAGCTGCATTTTTCCCTAAGAAGAGACAGCCTGTCATTTGAAACCAGGCATTGACTTCCTTCTACCTATGAAAGTCCTAGCTAGCATCTTCTTCCCCTAGAAGGTCACATGGAAAAATCTGTCGTTTAGTGTAACCACCTTCATCAATTATTCTAGCTTGATCTTCAGTTTGCACTTTTATGTTATGAAGACAAGTTATTTCCCTAAATGTTATGAACCAATTTCTGCTAGCTTCCAAGTTTTCTTTTGTAGCTTTCTCACCTCTCCCAATCTTCATAGAATTGAAGAAAATTAGGGCCTTGCTCTGGATTAGGCTTTAGCTTAGGGGAATGCTGTGGCTGGTCTATCCAGACTATTCATTCAAACTTTCTCCTTATCTGCAATAAAGTGCTTGGCATTTCTACTGTCATTCCTGTGTTCACTGGGGTAACACTTTTAATTTTGTTTAAGAACTTTACCTTTGCATTCACAACCTGGCTGACTGTTTGGCACAAGAGACCTAGCTTTCAGTCTGTCTTGGCTGTTGACACACCTTCCAGCTTTTGACTGAAAGTGAGAGATGTGCAACAACATTTAACGATTTAGTTTGCTGTCCTATATTGGTGCAGTTCCTGGTGCCCCAAAAAAATTACCGTAGCAAAATCAAAGATTTTTGATAACAGATCATTATAACAGAAATATAGTAATAATGAAAAAGTGAAATATTATGAGAATTACTAAAATATGACACAGAGAAAGTGAGTATATGCTATTGGAAAAATGGCACCTTTAATTTATAAAAAACAATACACGTGCAACACAATAAAGTGAAGTGCAATAAAACAAGGAATGCTGTATAGGATATGTCTAATGAACTGACAGAAGTGGCAACATTAATTTTTCATGTTAGTAGCGATTGTTTAGCCATTATGTTTGATTTTGATAATTTGTATTTAAAATTTAGTGTTCAATGGATTGAATACATTAATTATAATTAAATAACTAGGTAGTAAGAATGATTTACTATTTTTATGAACCCTGGTATCTTAACTGTTAGAAATATTAAATTTTCTATTAAAATAATATAGTCTTTGTTTTGTTTTTTAAGACAGGTCTCACTTTGTCACCCAGGCTGGAGTGCAGTGCCACAACCATAGCTCACTGTAGCCTTGAACTTCCAGACTTAAGCAATCCTTCCACATTAGCCTCCGAAGTAACTGAGACTACAGGGATGTGCCACCTACCTAGCTAATTATTTTTTTTTTTAATTTTTTTTATAGAGACAAGGTCTTGCTATGTTGCCAGGGCTGGTCTCAAACTTCTGGGCTCAAGCAATCCTCCTACCTCAGCCTTCTAGAAGTAATATAATTGGAAAAGTGAATAAAATATTTCTTGCAGAGTAAATTATAACAGCATTAATTGAAGAAAAACAAAATGTTCATCAGAAGGGAGTAGTTGAATAAATTGTTACAAGTGTACAATATATACAGATGTTCAGGAAGATAAAACTGATCTAAATATTCTAATATGGAAAGGTATTCAATTATTTTTTAAATGCATAACTATATGCATATATAAAAATACTAATAGGAAAAAGGTTCTAAGGCATACTCAAATAATTATTGTTAAAGCTGTTACTCTGAGTGGATGGAGTTATACATCATTTTTATTTTCTGTTTGGTAATTTATGTAACAAAAATTTTCTATAACAAGCATGTATTAACTGATTAGAAAAATTTTAATAGAAGTATCATTATTATTTATGTTACCTTGAACTGCAAGTTTAGGGAATAGAGGAGAATTTTAGGCTTATCTCCATCTGATGTTCCATCATGTTCATTCCAGAGAGGAATAGGCTGCTCTCCACCTAAACGAAAGAGGGGTTTGGGACAATTTTTTTAAAAAAGAAAAAAATAACTATCTTGTGCATTAAAAAAAATCCTCACAAAATAGGTATTTTATTTTTACCGACCACTGACACAGAGATCTTTAGCTAAGTTACATTTCACTGAGGCAGATATATGAAAGATAGTGATAATTCTGCATATGTAGGCATTTATTAACAATTTATATTTAATTAAAACACTGTATATATTATTGAACCAAAGCACATGTTTATATATCTCAGAAAACACATCTGAAGGCAAAAAGTAAATTGGACCAATTTCTTCAACCAATAATGTGACTTTTGTTGCAGGGGCCCTGGTCATGGTCATGAAGTTCCTATTAACAGAACATTTCTTTTTTTTTTTTTTTTGCCTGGGCAATGTGGCATAAAGAAAATAAAGTTCTAATATCTCAATATCTTACTTCTATTTCCACTTCTCTTTTCACTGATTTGAAAACATTCTGCATGCCTATCTTTCAAATATTCTATCTGACAATGATTAATCTTTTTGTACATATGTTTATCATCCCAGGGAGTCTGTATAGGTAGGATGGAATTTTTTTTTCCCTATTAGGGACCACAGATATTATCAGAAGAACTAAGAACCAAATAGATAAAAAGCAGATTTGCTTTGCTTTAAAAGAGAAATTAATCTTTTTTGGGCATTTGAAATTTAGGGGTCAAAATCTATTCAGTTAGTACTATGATAAAAATATATTTTAGTTTTCCACTAGAACAGAAAATAGGAAGAAAATAGAAAGAGGCAGCAGTCAACAGAAGGTACATCCAAGATAAGAACGAGAAAAGATGGACAAGGACATAACTTGGCCCCCTCAAAAAGAATTTTGTACATAAAGATGAATGAATACACCAGAAAGAGAAAGAAAGAATGATATGGATGAAGAGATGGAAAGTAAAGTATTAAGGATTTGTGGATTGGTTATACCACAACATATTAACATATTTTTGGGCCAGGTATGGTGGCTCACACCTGTAATCCAAGCACTTTGGGAGGCCAAGGCGGGTGGATGACATGAGGTCAGGAGTTCGAGACCAGCCTGGCCAACATGGAGAAAACCCATCTCTACTAAAAACAAAAAATTTGCTGGGTGTGGTGGGTGCCTGTAATCCCATCTACTCGGGAGGCTGAGACAGGAGAACTACTTGAACTCAGGTGGCAGAGGCTGCAGTGAGCCAACATGGCGCCAAAACACTCCAGCTTAGATGACAGAGAGAGACTGACTCAAAAACAAAACAAAACAAAAAAACCACATATTTGTATTTTGAAAGAATAGACTATATGTGTCTTTGTACACTTAGTACCTGCCTGCATGCTTGTATCTTTCCTCTCTGAGCTATCCTTCTCTAAAATATAAGCACACAGATTACATTTTCTTTTCTTCAACTTATAATTCAGTATTTCTCTCAGCCTTCTAACTCAAATCTACATTCACCCCTCACCTAAGCCTCATCACTGATAACCCTACCCACAGCCATATACATATATGTATGTATTTGTGTGTATATATTACTCTCTCCACCCAACTATCAACTACCCCTTCCCACCCCCATTGTCTCGATCTTCCATCTACCACCCAGCAAAGCTTCCACCGTCTTACATTATGCTTTTCATTTCCCTGATTTTATAACTTCATTTATATATGACTTTTTGTTGCCATATCATTTGGAAATCTCACATTCATTCATTCCTTTGATCCAGCAGTAGATGGTGTTTAGTTTACTTTTCAGTGCTATTCCCAAAACATTAAACTACTGTTCTCTCTGCTTTTCACCATTTGACTTCTAAACCACAGCCCTCTTACACATCTCTGTTCCTTAAGCTCACTTTTCTTAAATGACTTTATCCACTCACTTATGTTCTGTTTGTATTCATTTTTTACTCTTAAGTAGATATGTGTAAATTCTAATACCTAATATTTAAGTGCTTACTGAGTGCCAAGTGCTCTTCTAAGCCCTTTATCACATTTTGTTTATTCATACTCTTTCTGATACACCCTCATCAGCATTTGGTCCTTCCTTCCTATATGATGTTTGCCAAGAAATACACATCTTCGTTATATTATCTACATAGCTATTTCCCTAATTAGAGAATTCTTAAAGGGAAAGGCAATATATATGCAGATCCTAGCAAGCAGTACCTTAGCAAACCCTCGGTGTTTTCCTGAACACAATTATAAAGCACCTGTGTTGCTTGCTGATCCAACTCTTTATCTTCTGTTATTTCTCCAACACACTCCTGTCATCTCTCCAACACACGACACAATTACTACAAGCCTTTATAATTTTCCTTATACTCCCACAATTCTTATCTCATTCTCAGCAAATAAGTATGTCTTTTGGTCCCAGTTTCTTGCTATTTTGTTTCATCAAACTGTCCCTCTCTTTTGAAATGCAATCAATCATCAAAAAGTAGAACTTATTCAAGCATCAGTTCAAATCATTCCTATGCCTCAATAAGTCTGCCCAAGAAGTGTTCTCTTTCTCTTATATTTGTACTACTTAACTTCTTCATCAAAAATTCATTTAAATGTTTCTACTATTATGTGTTCAAATACCTAATGTTCCTAACATAAGTAAAAATTCTATAAGTGTGATAATTTTTACTCACATATCTTTGTAAGTTGCTCCTCAGTTACTTGGGGGTCATGTTTTTAAAATTCTGATAAACAACTATGGAATGGATTATAGAATCTTCTTTTATGTTTTCTAAAATACAGTGACAATTTCTACTCTGAAATACAGAATGAGTTATGTTCTAGAGAGAAAAATATTACATAAAGCAATGTCTACATTTTGAGGATTTGTTAGAATACTGCCACTAAAAATTGTTTATGACTATGTATATCTTGACACTTTCTAACAGGATGGGTGAAGTTTAGCTAGAAGAGTTCTTAGTTTCTCTTGGCTCTATAGGCAAGACCACAGTTCAGGTTATTTATTTATTTATTTATTTGAGATGAAGTCTCACTCTGTCTGTTGTCCAGGCTGGAGTGCAGTGGCGCAATCTTGGCTCACTGCAACTTCCGCCTCCCAAGTTGAAGCAATTCTCCTGCCTCAGCCTCCTGAGTAGCTGGGATTACAGGCGCGCCACCATACCTGGCTAATTTTTTGTATTTTTAGTAGAGACGGGGTTTCACTATGTTGGTCAGGCTGGTCTTGAACTCCTGACCTCGTGATCTGCCCACCTCAGCCTCTCAAAGTGCTGAGATTACAGGCATGAGCCACCATGCCCAGCCAGTTCAGGTTACCTAGGAGTCATCGTGAGATACAACAAACAATAGGTGATCAAATAAGAACTACATGATTCTGATTTTGAAAGCTGGCTGTCTTATCTATTTGTTAAATGAAATAATAAATAGTATTTTCTCTAACAAGAATTAAAAAATGAAGAAAATATGAATCTACTATTATCTATCTATCTATCATCTATCTATCTACTATCCTTGAGCAGTGTTTTGTAGTTTTCCTTGAAACAGTCCTTCACTTCCATTGTTAGCTGTATTCCTAGGTATTTTATTCTCTTTGAAGCAATTGTGAATGGGAGTTCATTCATGATTTGGCTCTCTTCTTGCCTGCTGTTGGTATACAGGAATGCTAGCAATTTTTGCACATTGCACAATTTTGCTGAAGCTACTTATCAGCTTAAGAAGCTTTTGAGCTGAGATGATGGGGTTTTCTACATATAGAATCATGTCATCTGCAAACAAAGATAATTTGACTTCATCTCTTCCTATTTGTATATACTTTATTTCTTTCTCTTGCCAGACTGCCCAGGACAGAACTTCTAATACTATGTTGAATAGGAGTGGTGAGAGAGCAGGCATCCTTGTCTTCTGCCGTTTTTCAAGGGGAATGCTTCCAGCTTTTGCCCATTCAGTGATATTGGCTGTGGGTTCGTCATATATATCTCTTACTATTTTGAGGTATGTACCTTTAATACCTAGTTTATTGAGAGTTTTTAACATGAAGGGATGTTGAGTTTTACCAAAGGCCTTTTCTGCATCTATTGAGATAATCGTGTGGTTTTTGTCTTTAGTTCTGTTTACGTGATGAATCATATTTATTGATTTGAACCAACCTTGCATCCCGGGTATGAAGCCTACTTGATTGTGGTGGATAAGCTTTTTGATGTGCTTCTGGATTCAATTTGTCAGTACTTTGTCAAGGACTTTTGCATCAATGTTCATCAGGGATTTTGGCCTAAGTTTTCTTTTCTTGTATCTCTGTCAGGTTTAGGTATCAGGATGATACTGGCCTCATAAAGTGAGTTACAGAGGAGTCTCTCCTTTTCATTTTTTTTTCAATAGTTGCAACAGAAATGGTACGAGCTCTTCTTTGTACCTCTGTCCGGATATGAAATTGTAGGTTGGAAATGTTTTTCTTTAAGGATGTTGAATATTGACCCCCAATGTTTTCTGACTTGTAGGGTTTCCACTGAGAGGTCTGCTATTAGGTTGATATGTTTCTCACTGTAAGTGACCTGGCCTTTCTCTCTGGCTGCCCTTAACTTTTTTTCTTTCATTTCGACCTTGGAGAGTCTGATGATTATGTATCTTGGGGTTGACCTTCTGATGGAGTGTCTTACTGGGTTTTCTGCAATTCCTGAATTTGAATGTTGGCCTATCTTGCCCAGTTGGGGAAGTTCTCCTGGATAATAACCCAAAGTATGTTTTCCAACTTGGTTCCATTTTCCCTGTCTCTTTCAGGTACCCGAATCAGTCATAGGTTTGGTCTTTTTACATAAAAGGTTTTGTTTGTTCCTTTTCATTCTTTTGTCTCTATTCTTATCTGCCTGTCTTATTTCAGAAAGATAGTCTTCAAGCTCTGAGATTCTTTCCTCCACTTGGGTCTGTTGTGCTGATGATATTTGTGACTGCATTGTGAAATTCTCCTGTGGTTTTTTTTT